GTAGGAGGATGGGCCATGGATGATGGGACTTCAAGTACCTTCACTCACTTCCTGAAAATAATGCAGCCGTTATCCAAAGACCAATAAAGACCAACCTTGGCATACAGAACCACCATTACCCACTTTCTCTAATAACCCGGGCAACGCCGGGTCCCCAAGCTAGTATATAATAAAGAAGAGTGTTTGTATCGGACAGAGGAATTGTGGAGGGAGGGCGGTGTATGTGGCAGCGTTCTGATTGGCTGCCGCTGTGGTGCTATTTGCATATGGTCTCTGATTGGCCAGCTTCAATAGGAGCCCCTGGTGGAGAAGAGGGTTCATGGCAGAAACGGGGCATGACAGAAGGAAATTTGCATATGGTCTCTGATTGGCCAGCCTCAAATCCAACATTCCGAGATGACAAAGAGAGGAAAGGAAAGGCCGGGGCCTGGGTCAGAACACTACCAATACAGACCGAAATAGGCACACAGAGCCCCCATCACCCACTCGACATCCTACTGCAGTTTGGAGGAGTATGAACCATGGATGATGGGACTTGCAGTACCACCACTCACATTCTGAGACCGCTGTTAACCTCATCCAGTGTCTGATCAGGACCAAACTTCGCACAGAGACCTCTCATGACCCACTTTACGTCCTGGTGTGTGTTTGGCTGGGGATAGACCATGGATTATGGGACTTGCAGTACTTTTGCGCAATTCCTGAGACCACAGCAACGCTCATCCAATTACCGATAAAGACCAAACTTGGCACACTGAGTCTCCATGACGCACTCTACATCCAGGTGCAGTTTGAAGGAGGATGCACCATGGACGATGGGACTTGCAATACCTGCACTCCCTTCCTTTTTTTTTTTTTTTAATTTTTTATTGATTTATCACTTTATTACATACTATTACATTTTGTACATCAACCTCTTTAACATGTTATTTTATTATTTTACTCTAACATTTCTCCCCCTTTTTTTCTCATTTTTCCCCCCCCTTTTCCCACCACAGTGCTCCCCTCCACCCATTTCAAGCCACCCTTCTTACATTTCATCTGTCCAAAATTTCATTTCTTCTTGTGACGGTAATTTTCCTTCCTTATTTTTTAATCCATTTACCACAAATCTTATGGGACTTGCAGTACCATTGCTCATTCTTCAGACCACTGCAACCCTCATCCAATTACCAAAAAATACCAAACTTGGCACACTGAGTCTCCATGACGCACTCTACATCCAGGTGCAGTTTGAAGGAGGATGCACCATGGACGATGGGACTTGCAATACCTGCACTCCCTTCCTAAGACCATTACAACTGCCAACAATGATGGATCAGGATCACAATTTACACAGAGACCCAGCATGACCCACTCTACATCCTGGTGCGGTTTGGAAGAATTTGACAATGGATGATGGGACTTGCAGTCACTTCACTCACTTCCTGAGACCACTGAGACCCACGCCAATGACTAATCAAGACTAAACTTGGCACATGGAGCTTCAATGACCCACTCAACATCCTGGTGCAGTTTGGAGGAGGACAGACCATGGATGATGGGACTTCAAGTACCTCCACTCCCCAAGACTGCTGCAAAACTCATCTAATGACCAATCAAGACCAAAGTTGGCACACAGAGCCCCCATGACCCACTCTACATCCTGCTGCAGTTTTGGAGAAGGGTGGACCATGGATGATGGAACTTCCAGTACCTTCACTCACATTCTGAGACCTCTGCAAACCTCATCCAATGATGGATCAAGACCAAACTTGGCACATAGACCTCTCATGACCCACTTTACGTCCTGGTGTTGTTTGGAAAAATTTGGAGATGGATGATGGGACTTGCAGTACCTTTGCTCACTTCCTGAGACCACTGAGACCCTCGCCAATGACTCATCAAGACTAAACTTGCCACATGGAGCTCCAATGACCCACTCTACATCCTGGTGCAGTTTGGAGGAGGACAGACCATGGATGATGGGACTTCAAGTACCTCCACTCCCTTCCAAAGATTGCTGCAACCCTCTTCTAATGACCAATCAAGACCAAACTTGGCACATAGAGCCCCCATGATCCACTTTACATTCTGCTGCTGTTTGAAAGAGGATGGACTTTGGATGATGGGACTTGCAGTACCTTCACTCACTTACTGACACCACTGCCACCCTCATCTAATGATAAAGACCAAACTTGGCACACAGAGCCCCCATGACCCACTCTATATCCTGCTGCTGTTTGTAGGAGGATGGCCCATGGATGATGGGACTTCAAGTACCTTCACTCACTTCCTGAAAATAATGCAGCCGTTATCCAAAGACCAATAAAGACCAAACTTGGCATACAGAACCACCATTACCCACTTTCTCTAATAACCCGGGCAACGCCGGGTCCCCAAGCTAGTATATAATAAAAGAGAGTGTTTGTAGTGGAAGGGCAGAAGTGTGGAGGGCGGACGTGTATGTGCCAGCATTCTGATTGGCCAGCCTGAAAGTTCCAAGATTCTGATTGGCTGCCGCTGTGGTGCTATTTGCATATGGTCTCTGATTGGCCAGCTTCAATAGGAGCCCCTGGTGGAGAAGAGGGTTCATGGCAGAAACGGGGCATGACAGAAGGAAATTTGCATATGGTCTCTGATTGGCCAGCCTCAAATCCAACATTCCGAGATGACAAAGAGAGGAAAGGAAAGGCCGGGGGCTGGGTCAGAACACTCCCAATACAGACCGAAATAGGCACACAGAGCCCCCATCACCCACTCTACATCCTACTGCAGTTTGGAGGACTATGAACCATGGATGATGGGACTTGCAGTACCATCACTCACATTCTGAGACCGCTGTTAACCTCATCCAATGACTGATCAGGACCAAACTTGGCACATAGACCTCTCATGACCCACTTTACGTCCTGGTGTGGTTTGGTCGGGGATGGACCATGGATTATGGGACTTGCAGTACCTTTGCTCAATTCTTGAGACCACTGCAACCCTCATCCAATTACCGATAAAGACCAAACTTGGCACACTGAGTCTCCATGACGCACTCTACATCCTGGTGCGGCTTGGAGGAGGATGCACCATGGACGATGGGACTTGCAATACCTGCACTCCCTTCCTAAAACCATTATAACTGCCAACAATGATGGATCAGGACCACAATTTACACAGAGAGCCCGCATAATCCACTCTACATCCTGGTGCGGTTTGGAAGAATTTGACAATGGATGATGGGACTTGCAGTCACTTCACTCACTTCCTGAGACCACTGAGACCCTTGCCAATGACTGATCAAGACCAAACTTGGCACACAGAGTCCCCATGACCCACTCTACATCCTGGTGCACTTTTGAGGAGGACAGACCATGGATGATGGGACTTGAAGTACCTCCACTCCCTTCCCAAGACTGCTGCAACCCTCATCTAATGTCCAAACAAGATCAAACTTGGCACACAGAGCCCCCATGACCCACTCTGCATCCTGCTGCAGTTTGAAGGAGGATCGACTTTGGATGATGGGACTTACAGTACCATCACTCACATTCTGAGACCGCTGTTAACCTCATCCAATGTCTGATCAGGACCAAACTTGCCACATAGACCTCTCATGACCCACTTTACGTCCTGGTGTGTGTTTGGCTGGGGATAGACCATGGATTATGGGACTTGCAGTACTTTTGCGCAATTCCTGAGACCACTGCAACGCTCATCCAATTACCGATAAAGACCAAACTTGGCACACTGAGTCTCCATGACGCACTCTACATCCAGGTGCAGTTTGAAGGAGGTTGCACCATGGACGATGGGACTTGCAATACCTGCACTCCCTTCCTAAGACCATTACAACTGCCAACAATGATGGATCAGGACCACAATTTACACAGAGACCCAGCATGACCCACTCTACATCCTGGTGCGGTTTGGAAGAATTTGACAATGGATGATGGGACTTGCAGTCACTTCACTCACTTCCTGAGACCACTGAGACCCTCGCCAATGACTGATCAAGACCAAACTTGGCACACAGAGTCCCCATGACCCACTCTACATCCTGGTGCATTTGTAGGAGGATGGCCCATGGATGATGGGACTTCAAGTACCTTCACTCACTTCCTGAAAATAATGCAGCCGTTATCCAAAGACCAATAAAGACCAAACTTGGCATACAGAACCGCCATTACCCACTTTCTCTAATAACCCGGGCAACGCCGGGTCCCCAAGCTAGTAAGAAATAAAAAAGAGCACCAATCCCAACTTTTCTGGAGATGAGAGACCAACTTGAGGATGGGAGAAGAAATGGCAGGAGAAGATTAAGAATGCAGTGATAACTTGAATTAAGAGTTTAAGTCATTCCGTAATTGAGCTAACTCAATTTGCTCTTATCTCAAAGCAAGTGAAATGCTATTAATCCCCTCTGACCCACTGTTAAGTGTTTTACATAAGAACGTGCATTTTATAAATAACAAATGACCTATAAATGCACATTCACATGGAACAATCAAAAACGAAAAATCAACTTTAAAATGGTAGAAGCACAAAGTTGTAGCAAGGAAGCACAAAGCAGAAAGGGAAGAGGCAGAAACATCCTTTTCTTCATACTGTCCTTCCAGCCCCCTCCCTCTCTTGCTCTCTCTCTATCTTCATGAAGCCAAATATACCAGGATAGAAATGACACAAAATCAACTAACTTAAAGTTCTGCAAAGCAGACAAGAGCAAAGCAGACAGCAATCTTCCAAAATGGATTAAGAGCACGAGGCATGGAGGTTGCTCCCTTGAATCCCTAATGCCCTATACTTGCGTGGTAGCACTCTCTCTGGTGCGCACTCTTAACTCAAAATGCTGTTTTGCATGTCAAAGCGAAAGCTGGGCAGAGCAATGGCTCTTAACTCAAACCATTCTTAAGTTGGGACACTCTTAAGTAGAGGTTCCACTGTATGTTTTTTTTTTAAAAAAAACAATGGCAGCTATGTCAGTCACATGTTTAGGACTTAGAACTAAAAAAAGATAAAACTGACAAAACTTATCAAATTTTATGGGCAGAATCCACATTTAATCACATTCCTCATTACAACATTTGCCTGTTTCAGCTCCAGTGTGTTAAGGATACAACTGAGGAAAAGATTCCCAATATAGTGGAGACTTGTAGCAAGGACTGCGTGTATACATTCATTGGACACCACATAATTCCTTTTGTTTATTGAGCAGAGAAATCCATGACCCCAGGCTTAGTTATTTTCTTCTGGCTCTGCTCCTACTCAAAGCTGCTCCAAGACCATCTATTCTTCAAGAAACTGATTAGAATGTTATCTTTTCTGTAGCTGGTACTTGTATTTCTGAATCCAGAAAATGATATATTCCTGGAGATATTATATGGCTGAATTGGCCAGTTTGTTTGTGGAATCTCCAAAGCTCCCATGTCTTTGAGGGAGAGAATCCTGGATGAAGATTTAGAACTTTGTTGGATTACTGTTGCAGAAGGATGCACAGCACACCCTATAAAGATTTATAGACTTTTGTGCACAACTAAAGGACACTGATTCCAGGAATTTCCAACTGGATGACCGCTGGGCATTCATTGATACTCCTCTATACTGGGGAAGCTACCCGGCTTTGTTTTCTCAGGCCATCGTCAGCGCCTGATTGAGTCTTGTGGAGAAGCTTGGGGCCTGCCAGGCCAATGATAAGAGCCCCAGCTGGAGCGGTGATCAGGATGCCCAGGAAAGCAACTGTCAAGATGTTCAGGCCATATTCTTCTAGAGTTTTATCTTCCTCAAGTCGCGCTGTGTCTAAGGCAACAGAACCAATTGCAGCCTATTGAGGAGGGAGAAGAAAACTGGTTTAGAAAATCCCATGATATGTTCGCCATAAGTCAGAAACAATCTGAATACACACAACAACAACAACAACAACAACAAAAGGTGTTGCCAAAAACAACAACCTAAATAAAATAATAATAACAACACTTTATATCCCACCCTTCTCACCCCAAAGGGAACTCAGGGCAGATCACAGTACACATACACGACAAACATTCAATGCCGCTTTGTATAGACAGTACATAGACAAACAGAACAGAAAGGAAGTGTGTTGTTTCGATGCCATGGAAAGTTGGGCTCGAGTTCAGCCACAGGAGGTGCTGTTGTTCCATTTTCTATGAAGAAGAGCCGCTAGGGCTTCCTCCTTCCTTTTGATCGCCCAGCATTTTCTGATCTTCTTTCTTTATGGCATTGTAAAACACCTTCCCCGCTTTATAGCGGTACCTAATTTCTCTAATTACAGCTAAAGCTGTTTTTGAACTGCTTAGGTAAACAGTGCGCAGGGCTGACAGTTGGCCGCTCATGCTAACCCGGGGCAGTGAACTTTCAATCTTTCGGTTGATAGATCTTATAGTTGCTAGTGATTTACCAGCTGTGCTAAACCTCTAGCCCTAAACCTAAATAACTTATATATAATAATATACTTTAATACCATACTTTATTTGTATTCCGTTCTATCTCCCCAAGGGGACTCAGAGCAGATTACTAGGGCTGGGCGGTTTCGTTTCGTTAATTCATAATTCGTTAATAATTCGTTAATTTTTTTAATTACAAAACGATAACGAACCATTCTGGAGCAATTTTTTTAAAAAACGAATTTTTAAACACGTTTTGTAAATGCTTCGTATTTCGTTATTGTATTCGTTTCGTTATTGTTCTGAGGTCGTTTCGTTATTATTTCCGCATGTCTGGGGCAAGTTTTTTGTTTAATTAGTGAAAAAAAATTATAATATCACACCAACAGTCAACAACAGAGGGACGGGAAGCTTCAGAAGTTTTTGGAGGTTTTTTAGCGTATTTCGCGGTCGCGTCCGCCATTAACGAATCGATTCGTTATTGTTTCGGAAATCGATTCGTTAATGTTTTGTAATTTTTTTCACATTTAAAAATTTCGTAAATATCGAACTTTTTAAAAGGAAAATTTTGTAATTATTTTAAATAACGAAACGCAAAAAACCCCAAAAACGAATCGATTTTAGAAACAAATTTTTCCGTTGTTACCCAGGCCTACAGATTACAGAATACATAAATGGCAAACATACAATGTTGTTATACAGTTAACAGACAGACAATACATAGACAGAGGCAAGGCTTCCCTCTTTTCATCTCCGGCATCCAGAGGCCGTGCTCAACTTGGCCATGCGAAAGTGCTATAGTTCCATTTTTCTACACCAAGGAGCCTGTTGTCCATGGACGCCTTCCTGATCAAATTGCTGCCATGTCTTCAGGGGCACCCTTTACCTCCCCGCCACAGCGGTACATATTTCAATAAATGTTAAAATGGCGAATACAAAAAATAAAATAATAATTAACATTTGTGGTACATGAAGAATTGCTGCATAGTCATGAGAACTGGATTTGAACTGAAGAGAGAAAAAGAGATGTCAAATGCAAGAAGGAATTAACAGATGGGAAGGCAATTGCTTTTCAGAGTGGTTGCTATGTAATAGTACTATTCCATAGACTAAAGCCATTATTTGCAAGTTTGCACTAAAAGCGTGTTCTACCTGGACAGTTGCTTTGGGGATCCATGCCAGCGCAATAAATATTTTCTCCTTGAAATTAAAGCCAGAAAAAGTCACCAACAAAAAAGTCGCAATAAGTCGTACCATCAAAGCCAGTCCCAGGGTGGCTAAACAAAGCCCTGAAACAAGGAAATGCTTAATTACACTTCTCAGAAGACAAAGGGAAAAGAAGTTTTGATCTTTTTTTTTTTCAGAGTCATCAAAGGAATGTTTCATGGTTCAATAAGGGGCCTACTGAGATTGATTTTTTATACTTTATCATTCATTTCCCAAAACTAACAAGATGCCAGGAAGCATCAGATACCTTTCAATACCTAACAGTATAACTGTAAAAAAAACAATGGAAGGGTCATAGTGACACGTGTTGATCTTCTCCCAGCCCATACAAGATAAATGCAAAACACTTTAATATCTGTAAAGAACAATAAAGATAGATAAATAAACCCAGAATGTTCTAATGTCAAGCATCAGTTTGTACATCCTTTGAAAGAGTCAGGAACCCCTTACCTAAAAAGACTCCGTAAAATATGAGTCTAGCTTGGAATATTGAAGCATCAAGTTAGAGCCATTGAGGCAGGAATGACAAGGCCTAGCCCTCCTGATGTTATTGGACTGCAATTCCTATCAGCCCCAGACATCATAGTCAGTAGAGAAGAATACTGGGAGTTACAATACAACAACCTTTGGAAAATTCCACATATTATATTTAAAGCATTCATAATTGTTAGTAACTAATCCATTAACTGAAAGCAAGGTACAATTTGTTGGGTGAGTGGGCTTATCAACAAAAGACCCTCCTCATAAATGCACGGCAGAGTAACATTAGCAGCAGTGTGACCCAGCACCAGTAGCCAAAAGTGATTAAAAGAACAAAGAACACACAGACCAATGTTATTTCTTCCTAAGGAGGCTTTTCTTTATAGCAAAATAACATGGTTGCACTATTTACAAGAACAAGGTTTCCATAACACAAATAAAATTATTGTCGAAGGCTTTCATGGCTGGAAACACTCATCTTGAAACACCTCCAAGATGAACTGAACCACCTCAACTGGGCTCTCCAGGCCAATGGATACTCCACCTCGGACATCAGAAGAGCTGCAAGACCAAGAACAAGCCATGAGAGTAAAGATGAAGATCCACCCAGAGGAAAAGTGTTCCTGCCATACATCAAGGGAACCACTGACCGCATAGGGAAGCTGATGAGGAAACACAACATACAAACAATCTACAAACCCACCAAGAAAATCCAACAAATGCTACATTCAGCAAAGGACAAGAGGGATCCTCTCACCTCTGCAGGAGTCTACCGTATACCATGCAGCTGTGGACAAGTCTACATAGGGACCACCAAACGCAGCATTGCCCAGACACGCATCAAGGAACATGAAAGGCACTGCAGACTACTTCAACCAGAGAAGTCAGCCATAGCAGAGCACCTGATGAACCAGCCTGGACACAGCATATTATTTGAGAACACAGAAATGCTGGACCACACCAACAACCACCATGTCAGACTACACAGAGAAGCCATTGAAATCCACAAGCATGTGGACAATTTCAACAGAAAGGAAGAGACCATGAAAATGAACAAAATCTGGCTACCAGTATTAAAAAACTCTAAAATTACAACAGCAAAACAACAGAGAGGAAACAACCAGGCACAGATTAACACCTCCCAGCAAGAGATTTTCCCAGGCTCAGGCAGGCCTTCAAATGCTAATGAAGGTGATCAGTTGAAACTTTCACACCTAGCTGCAGCAGGGAAGATCTCCTTGCCCCACCCCAGCCATTCCACAGATATATAAGCCCCTTTTCCTAATTCCAACAGACCTCACTACCTCTGAGGATGCTTGCCATAGATGCAAGCGAAACGTCAGGAGAAATGCCTCTAGAACATGGCTCTATAGCCCGAAAAAACCCACAAGAACAAATAAAATTCTTTATACTTCCTTCTTTGCTTCCATGCTGGGCTTCTTTCTCATGCAGACAAAAAGCTTTACTCTCACAGAGACTTCTCACACTAAACTTACAGAGGAGCTTCACACAGAAGCCTTTTACACACAGCAGCCGTCACAATGGAGCTTTACACATGAGGCCTTCAACCTGGGGCTTCTCTCACTGAAGCCTTCTCACACCAGGCCTCTCACACACAAACTCTGAGGCCTACCTCACACTGAGGCCTACTAACACTGAGGTTTACCTCACACTGAGGCCTCTCTCAGACTGAGGGCAACTAATACTGAGGTGTACTAAGCTACAGGCGGACCTGTTTATATTGAACTGCAGCTTTTGCTCAGTCATTGCATCCATTTAACCCTTTGAGTGCTTGACTCACATTTTTGTAATTAAAAATACCTAGTTAATTTTTAATATTTCTGACACAGTTCAAACATTTCCTGAACATTAACTAGATAACACGCTATGAGTCCACACATTATTTAAAAATAATATTTTGGGATTAATGCAGGTTTTAGTTTTTGAAGGAAAAAGCTTGTTCCTGATTAATGTATACTAGCAAACCATACAGGGTTTTTTTTTTTTTTTTTGTAAGCAGACTTACCAACTGTTTCGGGCTTGAGAGCAGCAATAGATATCTCAGCTCCAATTAAACCAAACAGAAAGGGTTGAAAAATTGTCCAGGCAATTGCTACCTTTTCTTCCACAGCTCTCTGGAGGACAGTGTTACAAAAACAAGGGTTGGTAATAGTGCTGCAGGAAATGTCATGTGTGATATCATGCAATAATAATAATAATGATAGGCAATCCTGTTAATTGCCTATCATTATGACATATATGCACATAAATGGTGGTTAGAGATGTGGGTACAATTTTCTGTGCAACAAGGTATTACCTCCCTGCATATCATCCATCTCCTCTTGCATAGCTTTTAAGCCCTGGGTTCAGCCATAGTTGGTACTCCTCCTCCTCCCTTTCTCCTGGCACGTCATTTCTACGCACCAGGAGAGCTCCGGCAGCTCTCTAATGGAAGCCTGGTAGTTCTTTTGTTTCTTAAAGGGCTTTTAGAAAGAAAACCACGGGATGATTGTCTGGAATGCCCCCTCAGAAGTCTAGAACTTTTAAGGGAGCAGTCCAGACACAGAAGTAGTGGGTTTATCCCGTGCCTTCCAAGAAGGCGCGGAATGACACAAACGAGTGTTTTCTTGGTTTGTGGCAAATTAATTCAGGTTTGTCCAGGGCATCATCTGGACTGTCCCTTTTTAATTGCGGGAACTCCCACATTAAAGGGTGGTCTGGATGGACCCTCCATAATTCTATGATTCCATCAACGACATGATCAAAACTACTTAAAAAAACCTTTCAATAGCTTGGCACACCATTTAATTATCTATTTGTCTGACTTTTATATAATTCAGGATCTTTTAGCCTACTTTTTAAATTGTAACACTCTCCAAATATACAGAAACTTAACATCCATTGTAGCTCGTTCCAGCTCAAGGTTAATGTAACTAACAGTGATCAAGGAAAGAAATATATATTTACACCCCATTCACTTCAAAGTATGCATCCAGCTATTTCACAATAAGCTTGGAACACTGAGTGCATTCTCAGTCATGAGGGTTAAATGGACACTCACCTTTTCTTCAGACCACTTCATTCCACCTATAAATGACAAAACAATTGTGCAGAGTCCTCCAGATCCATGGATACCAAAATACTTGCTGCCCAAAAGACTGAACATGGACAGCCCCATGACAAAGAAAGTTCTTTTCCATGCAAGTCTTCTCTAAGATGAGAAAATGAAAAGAAAGGTAAAGAATGTTTAAATGTTAAATTAGTCTTCATTATAACATAAGGAAATGAATGTGGTCATGAAGTTAGGATAAAATCTACAACTGTCACCTGTCTATTCCAACATGAACATTCAAGCATTTGCTGAATGGAAGGGCAATCTTAGCCATTCAATTCCTGAAATTGTACTGTATAGCTAGTATTGCACCACCTGATATTTGCTGAGAAGTTGCAGCCAATAATAAAAGGACCAAGGCAGTGACATCTCCGGCCCATCCCCAGTTCGGATATCAGCCAGCACGCCAATGCCTTAAATCAAGAAATAGTTTTCTAAGATCTACAGAGATACTCGCAGGAACACCTTAGCAAGCGAGAGTCCAAAAGTGGCATGCTCAAATCTGGAACATCAACCCATGGTTGATACTGAATAAGAGACCTCCCCCCCGCTGGGCACATAGAAGACTGGGTGACTTGGAAGGCGCTGAACAGTCTGTGCTCTGGCACCACGAGATGCAGAGCCAACCTTAAGAAATGGGGCCACAAAGTGGAGTCCATGACATGCGAGTGTGGAAAAGAGCAAACCACAGACCACCTATTATAATGGAGCCTGAGCCCTGTCACATGCACAAAGGAGGACCTTCTTATAGTAACATCAGAGGCACTCCAAGTGACCAGTTTCTGGTCAAAGGACATTTAATATAATGCCACAAAAACTTTGTGCTTTTAAAATACATTACAACCATACCCTCCATTCACTTCTGATATGATAAAGAAATAAATTCCCATCACCAAACAGTGCAAACCTATCCCATGAAGCAGGTAGTATAAATAATTGTTGGAAGTTCATACTCCCTAACACAGTGATGAAAGCCAAGATGTTATTCTTGCATATGAAACAATCTTGGTCTTGAACTGGAATAAAAGAATCCCAGTTAATGTTTCAGAGTAAAATGAGGGATATTCATTGATGAGACATCACTGTTGACCAAGGAAGAGGCATACTAGACCCACATCTTGGAAAAGTCTGTGTTTGCTGGCCTTTTTGGCCACTCAGTACTCTCCAGATCTTAACTAACTTCCTTTATTTACAGCTACCATAACCACTGACCATGGAATTGTAGCTGAACACATCTGGAAGTCACCAGCTTAGGGAAGGCTGATTTGTACCATATTCTTGATTGTTACTAACTAGGACATGGATGTTTCCTGTATTATGAATTATGTACTAGTAGAGAATTCATAAGAGACACAATTGTTTTCTTTTACCCTATCCTTGCTTGGAAAGTAGCAAATAAAAATCCCCAGAAACACTCCGGCTCCTGCACCAATTGAAACTTCCATTAAACCATGGAGAAGACTATCCACGGTAGAGCCTGTTTGGAGAAAGAAAGAAAAAGGCTCCGGATGAGTTTCCTCACAATCTTTCTGCTAGTATTAGTCAGCCTAAGCCAATGGTTCTCAACCTTCCTGATGACACGACCCCTTAATACACTTCCCCATGTTGTGGTCACTCCCAACCATAAAATTATTTTTGCTGCTACTGTTATGAATCATAATGTAAATACCTGATATGCAGGATATATTTTCATTCTCTGGATGAAATTTGGCACAAATACCCGATGCGCCCAAATTTGAATACTGGTGGGAATGGGGGTGGGGTTGATTTGCCATTTGGGAGTTGTAGTTGCTGGGATTTATAGTTAACCTACAATAAAGAGCATTCTGAACTCCATCAATGATGGAATTGAACTAACTTGACACACAGAACTCCCATGACCAATAGAAAATACTGGAAGGGTTTGGTGGGCATTGACCTTGAGTTTGGGAGTTGTAGTTCATCCAAAGAGCACTGTGGACTCAAACAATGATAGATCTGGACCAAACTTGGCATGAATTCTCAATATGCCCCAGTGTGAAAACTGGTGGAGTTTGGAGAAAATACACCTTGACATTTGTTGAGTTGTAGTTGCTGGGATATATAGTTCACGTAAAATAAGCGAGCATTCTGAACTCCACCAATGATATAATTGGGACAAACTTCCCACACAGAACACACATCACAAACAGAAAATACTGTGTTCTCTGATGGTCTTTGATGACCCCTCTGACACCCCTTCATGACCCTCCCAGGGGTCCCGAACCCTAGGTTGAGAAATGCTGGTCTAGGTAAGCCAATATTCAAAATACTTACCAACATGTTGCAAAATATAAGTTTGATGAACACGAGAAAGACCAGAAACAAAAAGCCTTCAGGTACAATCCCATGTGAAAAAATCAGGGCTTCCATGGAGATCCACCCACCTTTAAATGCCAGTGCATTGTAGAGGAAGAAGTTCAAATGCCTTGAGGATATCTGTACAGCCACCAGCACCGGAGGCTCAGAAAATGAGCTAAGCGAAACAAAAACAAAGCTCTCCTTTCCAAATTGTTTGCCTTGTTGAGTCTGGCATCTTCCGAGACATGGCAAGAAAATTGGTACTGGGTGCCATGCAATGACATAGGCTTCGGCAAATAAAATATCAGTCAGTTGAATTGGATGCTTCAAAATATGACCCAAAGTTCTACAGATTCTTGGAATCCAGACTTGGAAGCTACCCCACCTTCTGGAATTCATGTTTGTCTTCTCCTGTAGTTTCTGGCAATATGTTTTCCACCAAATGTGGTATCAGAACAGAAAGAAATGTACTACTGTCACAGGAGACTCTATAGTACTTATTTCATCTTAATTCCACTTTTCTGTGGCCCTGTGCTTGAAGGCTTATCCTCACAGCAAATCCTGTAAAATAAATCTGGCTGCAAAAACCTGTAACTGGCCTAAAAAGACACGCAATACATTTGGTAGCTGAGTGGAGATTTAAACCTCAGCCTATCTTATCAACCATACTACACTGGCTCATATGGCCTTCAAGCCCCTGAAAAATGATTGACTGAAGCAAACCAAGTTAATCCCCAGGGATCATGGAAAGAGAGAAAATAACAAATTTAATATTTGAAAGAATTACCGTATATACTCGAGTATAAGCCGACCCGAATATAAGCCGAGGTACCTAATTTTACCACAAAAAACTGGGAAAACACATTGACTCAAGTATAAGCCGAGGGTGGGAAATGCAGCAGCTACTAGTAAATTTAAAAATAAAAATAGATACCAATAAAATTACATTAATTGAGGCATCAGTAGGTTACATTTTTTTGAATATTTACATAAAACTGTAATTTAAGACGGCCCAACTCTGATTAAACCATTATTCTAACCTTCTTAATTGTAAATGTGCTTATGTATCCTTCCAATAATAATAGAGTAAAATAATAAATATAATAATAGAGTATGGATTCTCCCCTATGAACCCGCAAGGTTGCTAAGATCTTCTGGAGGGGCTCTGCTCTCGGTCCCACCACCCTCGCAACTGCGTCTGGTGGAGACGAGGGACAGGGCCTTCTCGGTGGTGGCCCCTCGGCTCTGGAACTCTCTTCCACTGGAAGTTAGAATTGCCCCTTCTCTCCTGACTTTTAGAAAGCAGGTAAAAACTTGGCTCTGGAATCTTGCATTTGATGAGTGAGTCAATGACTCTTGACCACATGGATGGATGGTAATGAATTGTGATTTCATTTGGACAACTTGGCCTTATGTTATTATATGATTGCTTTTTAATGTATTTTATGTATTAGTGTATTTTGGGGTGTGATGTTTTAAACTATTGTTTATGAATCTTTGTTGTAAACCAGCCTGAGCCCCTCTCCGGAGGTCGAGAAGACCGATATATAAAAGTTATAAATAAATAAATAAATAAATAAAAATAATGGAAATATAATAACAATAATAATAATAGAGTAAAATAATATATGTAATAATAAAATAGAGTAAAATAATAAATACAATAATAACAATAAATAGAGCAAAATAATAAATGTAATAATAACAATATTAAATAGTGTAAAATAATACATGTAATAATAAAGTAAAAAATAAATGTAATAATAATAATAAATAGAGTAAAATAATGTAAATGTAATGATGACAATAATAAATAGAGTAAAATAATAAATGTAATAATAATAATAATAATAATAATAATAATAGAGTAAAATAATAAATAACCTTGACTTGAGTATAAACCGAGGGGGACCTTTTCAGCCTAAAAATAGGGCTGAAAAACTCAGCTTATACTAGAATATATACAGTAATTTTCTTTGAGCTCCACTAGATTGTTGTTGTGAGATAAACCAGTTGTTGAACCTAAGGAAACATTTAGCACAACTATTCCTTCTCACGTGGCAGCAGGATGGTTAAAACCGCATCTAAGAAGAATGTGTTTTAGCTGGTTTCATCTAATGAGTTGTGTGGGCTGATAATAGAATCAAAGCATCCATGGAGAGGTAATTTTACTCCTGTTTCTCTACTGCAGTCCTGAGGGAAGTACTACTTTGCTTTGAGAAGAAATATTATTTGGCAAATTTCAGTGCAAATAGTATATACCTTCAGGGATGGGATTATCCTCTAGCCTGTAGGAGGCGAAAAAAGGGTTAAATTCTTTCTCCGTGTCTGCTCTAATCACATTATTGGCAGCCTCGGCTTAGTGGAATTTGCACTTTAAAAGCAACCTTTCATTAAAAACCACCTTTGCACTTTATGTGTTTCAGATCATGTCTACTTTGACACCTTATTCCGAAGTGCTCAATGGCTTGGCTGGCATTGCAGCATGCGTTACTGATCAATATATGTATGACTGAGTGTAAGCGCTTAGTCATACAGCTCCCTGAAGGCACTTGGAGACAGTGTTGTAAATTCCAGATAATTCAATTTCAGCTCCATCAGCAACAGATAATAATAATAATAATAATAATAATAATAATAATAATAATAATAATAATATCCCGCCCTATCTCCCCAAGGGGACTCAGGGCAGATTCCAATAGACGAAAAACATTAAGGCAAGCATTCAGTGCCTCACCACAACTGCAAACATAAATACATTCACAACCCACCCAATCTGAAACAACCCAACATCAATCTGAAACAACCCAACATAATGATAATATAAAAAACCCAAAATTATACTAACATTGTATCTCACCATAAAAACATCCAATTATTTCTAACCATAAAAACATGAACCTCAGCATAACAAGCTCCCAAAGTTTCACTAAAAAATTTAAAGTTCAAAGTTAGCTGTAATTGCCATGATATCCAACAGTGCCGGCCAACCCACTAAGGCCAGAGAGCAGTGATAATAATCGAGAATGAATTAAGTGACTGTCGTTCGCTAGACATTCTCTCCATATGCTAAAGTGCACAAATGGGTTTTTAATTGTTTTGTGAAGAAGACGGAGTGAGGGGACGTTTTTATCTCTTTGGGGAGGGCATTCCAGAGGTGGGGGTGATTACGAAGAAGGCCCTCTTTCTCATTCCCAAATGCCGTACTTGAGACACAAGTGGGACTGAGAGTAAGGCTTCCTCTGCTGACCACAATGTTTGAGTAGGTCTATAAGAGGAAATGTGGTTCTTCAAATAGCTTGGACCCAAGCCATTAAAGACTTTAAAGGCAATGATGAGCACTTTGTATCTAGCCTGGAAGCAGACCAGTAGCCAGTGCAGCCGCTGCAACATGGGAGTTACCTGATCCCTCTACAGAGCTCCAGTTAGTAATCTGGCTGCCAATCTCCTCACCAGTTGAAGCTTCCGAACTGTCTTCAAAGGCAGCCCAATGTAGAGAACATTATAGTAGTCCAAGTGGTATGTGACTAAGGCATGGACTACCATGGCCAAGTCTGGCATCTCAAGGTACAGACACAGCTGACCCATCACCAACACCTGCTATTCCAGGGTCAGCGATGAGTCCAGGAGCACCCCCAGACTGCGAACTTGTATCTTCAGGGAGAGTGTCCAAAACAGGCTGTAACCCCGCACCCTGTTCCGCCTTCTGACTGACCAGGAGTACCTCTGTCTTGTCTGGATTTAATTTCAACTTGTGAGCCCTCATCCAGTCCATCACTGATGACATTCATTGGTTTAGGACCAGGACGGCATCCTTGGCTTTAGGTGGAAAGGAATAATAGAGTTGAGTGTCATCTGCATAAATTTGACACTAAACTCCAGAACTCTGGATGATCTCATCCAGGGGTTTCATGTAAATATTAAACAGCATGGGGAACAGAATAGAGCCCTGAGGGACCCCACAGGCCACTGTTCAGGGAGTCAAACAGGAGTCCCCCAGCACCACCATTGGGATTCAGCCTTCCGGGAAGGACTGGAGCCACTGCAAAGCAGTGCCCCCAAGCCGCATCCCAGCGAGCCAACTCAGAAAGATACCATGGTCAATGGTATTGAATGCCTCTGAGAGGTCCATGAGAACCAACAGAGACACACTCTCCCTGCCTAGCTCTCTTGGTAGATCATCCACCAAGGCACCCAATATGTTCTCTGTTCCATAGCCAGGCCTGAAACTAGACTGAAATGGATCTAGATTAGTGGTTCTCAATCTGTGGGTCCTCAGGTGTTTTGGCCTACAACTCCCAAAAATCCCAGCCAGTTTACCAGCTGTTAGGATTTCTGGGAGTTGAAGGCCAAAACATCTGGGGACCCACAGGTTGAGAACCACTGCTCTAGATAATTAGTTTCATCCAAGAAACTTTGGAGTTGTGAGGCCACCACTTTCTCTAGGACTTGCCCTGATAAAATAATTTCCATTGAGATCCATGCTGTTTCTAGGATGAGACCTCTCATTCCTTTCTTAGGCAGAGAACAATGCCTAAGAATAGTTTAAACATAAAAACAGAGTCATGCCATACTTTCAACATAAAATATGGCATGACTTATTATTCATTGGATTCCAAAGATAGGGAGATATCAAGCAGTGCTAATGGTGTGAATTTTGTGGGAGGGACCTCAGTGTCTTTCTTGCCTAAGAAGAACCCATAAAATTCATGGAGCCACCCTAGTTTGACAGGTGACTTGAAGGCACATTTATGAGAACTGAGTTTGCTTCCTTGTCCAGCAGGTGGCAGAGAAAGGACCTCTTTTGGCCCAGCTCTGCTGCTAGACCACAAGAAAAGCAAAAGAAGAAAGGAAATGGAGCCTTTCTGTTGCAACTGATAAAATGGAAAATAAAGTGTTCAAAGTGCATTGTGGTTGCCACAATTAAAATGAATGTCACTGATCTAAAGCAGCAATAATCTCCAAGCCACTTCACACATTTTACAGGACTAGGTGTCTATTTTTATTTTGGAATTTACCAGTAGTTGCTGCATTTCCCACCCTCGGCTTATACTCAAGTCAATCAATTTTTCCAGTTTTGGGAGGTAAAATTAGATGCCTCGGCTTATATTCGGGTCGGCTTATACTCGAGTATATACGGGTACTTTCAGGAAAGGAATCTGGACAAGCCCTTCTTGTGGGAGCCCAGTTCTTAAAGGGAATAGTTTTAGCCCTTTTTTCTAAGGGGTCCCATGATTTCCCTCCTTGGCTGAATACATGTTCTCGCTCATCAGACCTATGAAGTAATTAACAACAGTACCTGTGGAAAAAGCCATGCCTAAGAAGGTGTTGAAGCCTGTGATGGCTACAATATCGTCCATGCTTCCTGCGGCTATCAGCAATGTTGGGATGCCTTTGTCAACACCATATCCTCTGGCCTGTAACCCCAACATTGAAAGGACAACGATGGCAGGAGACACCGCACCTATAACAAATCTGAACATATGCAATACCACCTTTTTATTGATGTCCATTCTCTTTGTCCCTTTCATCACGATACGCTCTTCAACATAAAGAAACAGGAAAAACGATCTAGGAAAACATCTTCTCTGTGTTTCCATTCGTCCCCATCCTATTACACTAAAGATAAAGATTTCCTCTGACATTAAGTCTAGTTGTGTCCAACTCTGGGGGGTGGCGCTCATCTCCATTTTTAAGCCAAAGAGCTGGCGTTGTTCATAGACTCCTCCAAGGTCATGTGGCCGGCATGATTACCTTCCCAATGATGCGGTACCTATTGTATTGTTGAAGGATTTCATGGTTGGAATCACTGGGTTGTTGTAAGTTTTTCAGGCTGTATGGCCATGTAGCATTCTTTCCTGAGGTTTCACCAGCATCTATGGCAGGCATCCTACCTGCCATAGATGCAGGCAAAACTTCAGGAGAGAATGCTTCTGGAACATGGCCATACAGCCTGAAAAACTTACAGGATGGCAAGGATAGACCAATTGATCTATTCACGTTTGCAAGTTTTCTAACTGCTAGGTTGGCAGAAGCTAGGGCTAACAGCAGGAGCTCATTCTGCTCCCCAGATTCGAACCACCAACCTTTCAGTCAGCAAGTTCAGCAGCTCAGTGGTTAACCCGCTTTGCCACTGGGGCTCCTATTACACTATTATAGTGCTACTCCATTTTTACTGCCATGACAATATGCTATAGCATCCTGGGATTTGCATTTGGGGGAAGGACATTTAGAATTCTCATCCAGAGCTCTTGGTTAAACTATAAACCCCAGAATTCCACAGAATGTTGTCATGTCACTTAAAGTGAAATAATTGCACTATAACAGAATAGTATGATAGAGCGCTAAGTCAGAATGGGGCAAGTAGTAGTGGAAGCATATAGCAACTACTGCTTTGAAAAGAGGGGGGAAAGCCTACACCATAAATGTTTTGGAAGGCAGAGTAAACACTGTAATCATTAAATTGATTTGCAAAAATAAATGCAGTTCTCTGCAATCACAGTTCTACACTCCAATTCAAAATGAGAACAATCAGTAGGATGAGAAGAGCTTCCTTGAATGTTAATTATCAGTCATGAGAATTAGCAATACAAAAAACAATGAAATAAATAAATAAATATCAAATTAAAAATTAAAAGCCACCTATACAGCATTCTAAACAAATTTGTTGTCCAGGCTGATTATGGGGTGCATAAAAATATTATACAAACTATTGTCGAAGGCTTTCATGGCTGGAATCACTGGGTTGTTGTAGGTTTTTTCGGGCTATATGGCCATTTTCTAGAGGCATTCTCTCCTGATGTTTCGCCTGCATCTATGGCAAGCATCCTCAGAGGTTGTTTATCATGAATGCTAATGCTAATAATGCTAATAATAATAAAAATAAAAATAATAGAAATGTCCTGTGTTTGCAAGGTAGTGGGCTTCATCCACTGTGTTTATGGCTGGAACATAAACATTGCTAAAGAAATACACACCCTGTATGTAAAGGTAAGCAAAATCCCTTCTTACCCTAACATAAATCCCCAGTCCCATGGCAGGCCCATCAGGAAGTGAGAGATGACTGCTGCTGAACAGGATTCAATGATGCAAGGTCCCAAGCTTAGTCTGAAACAGACTGCTTTTAACTTATTCAGAGCCTGAAAGACAAAAAAGAAAAGAGAAATTGGTTATACAACATTTGCAATTTACTCTTTTTCTCATCTTTTCTCATTTGCAAAGTACAATATATAACTCCCCCAAAAGGTCAGAATTGTTTAATGCAAGTTTTCTGACTATAACATTTTCATTTGCATTAAGGACATACACTTCCATCTGTAATTGTAGTCTTGTATTAAAAACAGCAGCATGGTAAGAACTGGACAAAACGTATCTCTTAAGTATTCCTTGCTTAAGAGCACACGGCACCCCTATTAAAGCAGCTCCACTGGCTGCTGTTAAGTTTCCGGTCCCAATTCAAAATGAAAGTTATAACCTATAAAGCTTTAAACGGTGTGGGTCCTGCCTATCTTCAGGACCGCATCTCCCCCATGAACTGGCGTGGGCTCTAACATCTGCCAGGGAGGCCTTCCTCTCGCTTCCACGACGGTCACAGGAATGGCTGGTGGGGACGAGGGAGAGGGCCTTCTCAGTGGTGGCCCCCCGACTTTGGAACTCCCTCCCTAGGGAGATTAGGCAAGTCCCCACATTGTCCTCCTTTTGCAGGGATCTGAAAACCTAGATGTTTCAGATGTTTCAGCTTGCATTTGAGAACGCCTAGTCCCTAGTTAAATGCCCAGTCCCTAGATTCCCTAATAATATTTTGCTCTCTGTAATTCATCCAATATCCAGCCCTATGATATGCTGTTTGCACTATTCCATGCCTGGCCCTTTTATAGCCTGGTCATGCCGATTGCACTATTGGCAATTTGTTTTGTCAAAAATTATTCTGATTAAGTTATAACGTTACTGCTTTATACTCTTTACGTTTTATTGAACTGTGTTTTTATCCGGACTGTTATATTTAACTATGTCTTTATTTCAGTTATGTTTTTGCTATGATGGATTGCTTTGTATTGTGTCTGTGGGCATTTTGTCCCATATGCAAGCCGCCTTCGGGGAGATGGTGGTGAGGTATAAGAATGAAGTTATTATTAAAGTTATTATTATTATTATTATAAGAAAGTCCTATGGAATTCACAAATAAGTCAACAGGTGCCTGAAGACATATATACATATTAGCCATTCCCTGTTATGTGTTGCTGTGGCCCAGTCTGTGTATATGTGTTTTGTGTGCGTATATATATATATATATATATATACACACACACACACACGCACACCCATTTCTAGCCTGTCCTTCTCAACCCCCGAAGGGGGACTCAGGACAGATTACATTTGACACAATTTGATGCAATTAAATATAACAAAGTAATATAACAACAATTAAAACAATAAATAGAACATTAATTAAAACAATAAAAACAGTATTAACCYCTGTATCACCATTCCAGTCTAATTCTATATCCAAAGCGCTATTTATTCCTGCTGTCCAAAAGCCTGGTCCCAGAACCACGACTTCAATTTCTTTCTGAAAGACAGGAGGGATGAAGCCGATCTTTCCTCGTTGGGGAGAGAGTTCCACAAATATATATACACACATAAACACATATATATATATATGCTGGAAATAAATAAATAAATAAATAAGTGTGTCTGCGTATATATATGTGGGTGTATATATGTCTGTGTGTATATATGTGTGTATATGTTCGTGTGTTTATATGTGTATGCACATATTGTCTATATGTATGTGCTTGTCTATATGCATATTTGTGTGTCTATATGTGTGTATGTATATTTGTGTGCATGTGTATATGTGTGTATATATGTATGATTGTGTATGCATGTGTATATGTATATATGTGTGTATGTATATGGATGTGTGCATATGTGTATATTCGTGTGTGCTTGTGCATACATGTGTGTGTATAAATGTGTGCATGTGCATGTGTATATGTATATGAATGTATGTGTATATGTGTTGAGACTCAGCATTCTGGCACCATACCTACTACTAGTAGTAGGAGAAGAAGAAGAAGTGATGGTGTAATTTTTTAGGTTTTTAAGTCTGTTCTGCTGAGGTGTGTGTGTGTGTGTTTAGAGTGATGGACACTCGTTGGACTGTTAGGTGTATTGTGTCAAAAATTCGTGTCAATTCGACCAGTAGTTTCTGAGTTATGTTTCTCCCACAAACGAACACTACATATAGATATAGAATCTATCACTGGGTTTTCTGAGGCTGTGAGTATGTAACTTGCCCAAGATCACCCAGTGAGTTCCCATGTCTAAGCAGGGAATTGACCTCTGATTTCCAGAGTAATAGTCCAATGATCAAACCATACACTGGCTCACAATGTCTAGCCAATGCCTCTTTTTTCCCTTTAAGTAACTGCAGTAGAGGGTGGGAAGAGAAAGCTTATCTCTCCCCTATAGATCATAATATTATCACACTGTCCTTTGTGAGACAACAAGGAACCTTGCCCTGAACACTTTAGCCGTGTGGACGTTGTGAAATATTCAGTTCTAATGCACAAAAAGAGGAACGCACACCATCCCTCCCTTGGCACTCTTCTCTTGGTAAGAATCTCCTCTAATCATTTAAAGACATTGTTGTACGCAATGCCTTAAGTCTAACATGGTAGTCTGGGCCTCTCTTCTGCAGCAAAAACTTTGGCTTTGTTAAGGAAGGATCACGTGAAGCCTCACCTGTGGGTTAAGGCCAAGACCAGCAAGAGCCAAGATAATTGAGAGGGCAATATTTCTCAGGGCAGCTCCCCATTTCACATCAATCTTAACTATGTCATTGGTGAAGGGGATGTTTCTTATGAGAAATCCAGCAACCATCATACCTGCAGTGCAAGAAAGAAAGCCTTATCAATGTTGGTTTCTACCACGAGACACAACAAAATGTGGAAAATTCAGTTTCTCTCTCAGTGTATTAAACTTTTGATAAAGGAAGATGTTTTGTGTTAGTACAGACATAATACTGAAGGATATAATACTGAATAAAGACAACACAGAGAGAAAGAAAGAGCACTAAACAATGAAAAAATCAATACAGCCAAGTCATTACAAGAAATAATATTTAGACCATTAGACTCCAAACTGATCCCAGTCCAGTTCACTTCTCATTCATTTCCCAAAGGAGAACTAAAGCAACCAGACTAAACCTACGAGGGTTGAATGAAAAGTAATGCCTTCACCTTCATTACTTGGGTTTGGATGGGAATATTTTAATAAATCAAATGCAGAAATAATCCTTAGAATGTGCTCTTTAACTACCACTATTCACTTTTCAACATAATCCCCAGACAATTGGATACATTTCTGCCAACAATGAACAAGCCATCATGGAACAAGTCGACACTCTGTTTCTGCAACCAGCATCTCACAGTTCTCTCATCCTGGGTACCCATTTTGCAGAGATCTTCCGATAGTCAAGCAAAGCAATAATGTGACCCACACATTCTTGTGAAATGCCGAATATGCTTGGGGTGTTGCCAAAGAGCTTTGTTCATAAACTTCCTCTTTGATCGAATCACCAGCATTTTTCTGGCATTTTCCTTATGGATGCCTTTTAAATACCTCCCCACTTTAAAGTGGTCCCTATTTATCTACTCACATCGCTGGTTTCAAACTGCTAGGTAGGCAGAAGCTGGGCTGAAGGCCTGAAGCTCACCCCAACCTGGGTTTTGAACTGTCAACCTTTCAGTTGGTAAGATTTACTGCAGCTGGTGGTTAATCTATTGTGCTAAAGCCCGGCCCCTAGTAAGGATACAATCTCACTTTGGGAAAGTCAGCTGTCATTGCAAAAAAAAAAAATCAATTCTATTTACCAATAAAATGAAAACTACCTGCTAACAGTATACTTACCAAGAAGGCGAGGGAGAGGAGGTAGATGTGGTATGTTAATGAGTGTCATAAGTTTGCCACCCAGTACAGAAAAAACATAGAGGAATATAAGTCCGAAGAGATTTCCGCGAGGAAGACTGTCTTTATTTGTAAGAGACCAGGTTACCGCCCAGAATACAGCTATTGCAGCCACTGGAAGTCAATAAGAAGAAAATTCAGAACTATAGTAACATTTCAAAGTCATTGGGGGTATCATTAGAGTACTTAGAGTGCTACAAGAACCTTAACTTATGCTTATAATGCCAGGCCTTCAAGTGGAATCTTAAATATTCTGAAATGTTCTTATGAGTCAGTCCTTGAGTTCATTTTCTATTGAACCAAGTATTCTCATAATAATAATAATAATAATAATAATAATAATAATAATAATAATAACCACCACCACCACCACCATCATCATCATCTTTATTTGTATCCTGCCACCATCTTGCCAAAGGGACTCGGGCCGGCTCACAGAAGCACTCCAAGTGCCACATGCAGACAACAATACAGAAGTATAAATACAATGGCATAAGTATAATCAACAGCACATAAAAATCTCTCTGATAAAATTATAAAAATATGAAAATTATAAAATTCCTAAAATGCAGTGGAACCTGTGGGCCAGCTATCTGTCATAACAATCATAGTGTGAGTCCGTCTATCAATAATTCATCACACTGGCCGTGGATTAGACTCACCTCAAAGGCCTGAAGAGAGAGGTTTAATCTACTTTCTTTAGAGAGGGTTTTCCAGAGCTGGGGAGCCATCACCCAGAAGGCCCTCTCTCTCATTCCCACCAACTGTGCTTGAGACAATGGTGGGAATGAGAGAAGGGCCTCCCCAGCAGATCTTAATACCCTTGCCAGTTCGTAGAAGGCGATGCAATCTCGAAGATAAGTTGGACCCGAAGTGTATAGAACTTTATAGGCCTGAATTGGGCCTGGAAATTTATTGGGAGCCAGTGGAGCTGCTTTAAAAGGGGGGTTAATATGCTCCCTAAAGCTTGCCCCAGTTAATAATCTGGCTGCGGTTTCCGAATTGTCTTCAAAGACAGCCCCATGTAGAGTTTTCTACCCCGTTTCCCTATGAGCTCTCCCTTGCAAATAATCTGCTCCTTTTATCTCACCCTGAGATTTAAAATCATTTTATTGTACATGCGGCCCCCTCATTCTTATGTTTTGTTTTCATTGCTTATTGTATTCATCATGTTTTTGTATTTTACTGAATTGTTGCTTGCGTTTCGGTTTTTATTTTACTGTATTTTACTGTATTGTAATTTGCTGTTTGGGCTTGGCCTCATGTAAGCCACCCCGAGTCCCCGTTGGGGGAGAAGGTGACAGGTATAAATAAACTTTATTATTTTATTATTATAAACCACCTAAACTGGGCTCTACAGGCCAGTGGATACTCCACCATAGACATCAGAAGAGCTGCAAGACCAAGAATGAGCCACGAGAGTCAAGACAAAGATCCACTCAGAGGAAAACTGTTCTTGCCATACATCAAGGGTACCACTGACTGCACAGGGAAGCTGATGAGGAAATACAACCTACAAACTATCTACAGACCCACTAAGAAAATCCAACAAATGCTATGTTCAGCAAAGGACAAGAGGGATCCTCTCACCTCTGCAGGAGTCTACTGTATACCATGCAGCTGTGGACAAGTCTACACCTAAAAACTGTCAGGCCATCAAATCCTAATCAACTGAAACATTCACACCTAGCTCCAACAGACAAGAGTTCTTTCTCCCACCCTGGACTTTCTACAAATAAACCCAATGTTCCTAGTTTCCAACAAACCTCACAACCTCTAAGGATGCCTGCCGCAGATGCAGGCAAAACATCAGGAGAGAATGCTTCTAGAACATGGTCATACAGCCCGAAAAATTTACAACAACCCAAATAGGAAAGATTTTTTAGACATTTCTTCCAGGGGACAAGGCATGAATTTATGTGTTCTGGGGGTTTATTTTTCCGAACCATATGTTAGAAAACAAGGCACTTCTGCATGGTCATGACCCAGTTCAAACACAAATCTGCAGAAATGAATGAGATTACAGCCATTTTTTTTGGAGTTCATTCAAGGGTGAGAACATTAAGATCTAGCTTAAGAGATTACAATGATGATTAAAACAATAATGGCTAAAATGAAAAAAGCCTCGGTGAACTGCAGAGTTGGCAGAACAACGTAGCACGGATATTAGTAATCTTGTCTATTTGCCTTAGAAATGAATTTCAATGAATTTTGGAAGGCTTTGGTTTCAGACTCCTAAAGATTAACTTGATTTATCACACTCTTGTTTTCCTCCAACGAGCTTAGACTGCCCTATATATGATTCCCATGTGGGTTTCCATCCAAGCAGGTTACTGGGCCAAACCAGCTTAGCTTCAGAGGGAGAATGATGTATAAACCTTCAGATCATTTTCTGGGTCATTACAAGTTGCTACATCTAGCCTGTGATATGCATACAAAGTCCTCATTTGTAAAGACTACTGCCATTCCAAAGCAATGCTATTCCTTCTTGCGTTCCTTGTTTGTCCTTCCGGGTTAATGAAACTTAATTAATTAGGCAAATAAACTTATATTGCTATCTTTCGCAAGCATTTCTTCACTGTTCTGCAACATTTTATACAAAATGATCAGACTTGTGCGAATTGTGTGCTAGTTGCACCCATACCTTGGGAAGTCAGATTTGACCATGGTGGTCCACGCTCTGGTTACATCCCGAATAGATTACTGTAAAGCACTCTACGTGGGTTTGCCTTTGAAGACTGTTCAGAAGCTCCAAATGGTCCAATGAGCGGCAGCCAGATTGCTCATTGGAGCAGTGTACAGGGAGCACACAAACCCTCTGTTACGTCAGCTCCACTGGCTGCCAGTCTGCTACTGAGCACAATTCAAAATACTGGCTTTGACCTATAAAGCCCTAAATGCTTCTGGCCCAGCTTACCTGTCCAAACGGATCTCCCTCTATGAACCATCTCGGAGATTAAGATCATCCAGGGAGTCCCTGCTCTCGATCCCACCTCCTTCTCAGGCATGATTGGTGGGAATGAGAGACAGGGTCTTCTCAGTGGTGGCCCCTCAGCTGTGGAACTCCCTCCCCAGGGATATTAGATCAGCCCCTTCCCTTTTGACCTTTGGGAAACAGTGAAAACATGGCTCTGGAATCAAGCCTTCAGAGATGAACTACAGTGCAGTTAGATTAACTGGAATTATGTGCAATGACTACTGGAATGACCTGGATTACTATTACGGATTGCATAGTTTTATACTGATAGTAATGTTTTATAATGTTTCAATGTATTTAATTTTGATTTTAATTTTTATTTAAATGGATTTTAACTGTATATTGTTGTGAAGGCATTGAATTATTGCCTCTCTGTAAGCCGCCTTGAGTCCCCTCTGGAGTAGAAAAAGGTAGGATATAAATATAGTAAATAAATAAATATACCAGTTTCTATGCAAAAGCAAACAAATCTAATATTCGAACTCCCATATCCCCCTCCCCTCCTTTAGATACCTGAAAGTGTGGATAACAGTGAACTTATATTTTGACTATATCTGGACTGGAAGTACGTATATCATATAATTGTACTGGAAGACCTATTTTCCAAGGTTTCAGGGATTCATGGTGAGTCGTGGAACCTATCCACCATAGGAATTTCTTTAGAGAGTGGGACTCTTCAAATGTGTCCCACTCTGCTTTTAAAAGGAGAGGCATGTATTTCACATTTGAGGTTAAGCAGACTGTGCTGGTACGGCTGTACCAGGAGCTCCAAATTTATTTGCTTTGTATTGAGGGTTTGCTTGCAGTCCAGGGTTTCAGAGGTTCTGTAGAAAGGTGGCTTCCTTTGGTTGCAGTCGTAGGGCAAGTCACCTGTCCATCATTAAGTTTTGGTTCCACCCCTTGCTCAGAGCAATTGGGAAGGGAGTATCAGCAAGGAAAGCTAAAGATTAACTTGATGTGTACAAGCTTCCCCTGTACAAAAGCTTCAACCCTTAAGACTTTCTGGGGGAGAACAGTCTTAAGAGCCTCCAAAGATTCTAAAGATTTCCAGGGAAACAGCCCTAAAGCTTTGAAGAATTTCGGAAGGTAACAGTTTGGAAGACCAAAGATCTCCAGCTGGAGAATATCCAAGCCTTTACTGGTATGTCCACTTGGTGCTCGAGAAGCAGTTTGACCCGGTAGCGGAGCCCACATCAGTAAGGATTAGATTACAGTCAGCCTGGGAGAAGTTAAAAAGGGATTTTCCTTTAAAGTAAAGAATCAGTTATTAAAGACAATTGCCTGTCCTTCGTGGACAAGTTTAGGTAGCCAACAGTTGCATAAAAGCCTGGAATCACTTGTTTGACTTTACTGAAGACAAGAGAAGTTGATTGTTCATTAATAAAGGACTTTGTTATACTTCACAAGCCATCTAAAGATCATTTGTGGTGGAAAACCTCTGAGAACTTCTCTTCGGGGGGCCCTGGCTTCCCGCTGGGCTAAAGTCGCACGTCCTGCTTAAAGACAATTATTTACAGGCCCAGTTCGCAACAGAACACAGACCATTCTTTGAGTATCAGGGTTTGTTTTTTTGTTTTTGTTTTTTTTGGGGGGGGGGGGAATAATTTTAAAACTTGTTTGCTTAAACATAAAACCCTAAACTTATTCATTAAATGAATAGAGTCCACAGGAAACATGGATATCTTTACATCTGCCTTAGTTTTCCTCCTTGCGACTTTCTACATACCATTTGTTACTAGTGAGGCAATATGGCCATGTGGCGGACAAGAACATATGTGCCTGTGCTTCGCTTCCTCAGCAATGTCATCTCTCTCCTCTAGAATTGCTTGCACATGATGCTCACTGTGTTTCAACAGGAGAATGGGGTCTTTTTCGTCTGTATCACAAAGGTCTTCAGCATCCAAATCAATGGCTTCCTGAATTAAAACAAATATTCTCAATAACTTGATCAAAAAGAGAAAAATCAAAGTACCTTGAAGTATTTTTCAAAGGGAGAAGCTGTTTTTAGTCTATTTAATAACAGAACATGAAATAGGTGATGAACAAGAACTAGCAACACCTTTAATAATAACTTTATAAGAACATTTGTGGATATCAATCCACTTCTTTAGATTAACAGATGGAATTAGAAGCACAGTCACAGTTATATTGGAGTTGAACATTTATGGGGAGATGGAATCAGATTGCAATAAAAGGTAAATGACTTAAATCAAGAAATAGCTTTCTAAGATCTACAGAGACACTCACTGGAACACCTCAGCAAGCCAGAGTCCAAAAGTGGCAGGCTCAAACCCAGAACCTCAATCAATAGTTGATGCCAAATGAGAGACTCCCTCCTAAGCACACAGAAAACTGGGCGACTTTGAAGGCGCTGAACAGACTGAGCTCTGGTACTACGAGATGCAGAGCCAACCTTAAGAAATGGGGCTACAAAGTGGAGTCCACAACATGCGAGTGTGGAGAAGAGCAAACCACTGACCACCTGCTGCAATGCAACCTGAGCCCTGTCACATGCACAATGGAGGACCTTCTTGCAGCAACACCAGAGGCACTCCAAGTGGCCAGATACTGGTCAAAGGACATTTAATAGAATACCAAGTCTGCAAACTTTGTGTTTTGTTTGTATGTTTGTTTGTTTTGAATGCAATACTCTTGACAAGATAAATACAAATAAATAAATACCCAAATTTATTTGTGTTTAAAGCATCACAAGACTCTTCACTGCTGTTTTTCAATATAATAATACAGCCAAACTTTTGGAAATGGTTACAAACTGTAATGAGTGACAAAACTTCCAATACAGCTTTGGTTAGGTCTATTGTTGGAGAGTGGTGCAATGGGTTAAACCTTTGTGCCGGCAGGACTGGTCAACCAACAGGTTGGTGGTTTGAATCCAGGGAGTGAGGTAAGCTCCCGTCAGTTGAGCTCTAGCTTCCCATGCAGGGACATGAAAGAAGCCTCCCACAGGATGGTAAAACATCAAACATGAGCTCCCATCTGTCAGCGCTAGCTTCCTATGTAAGGACATGAGAGAAGCCTCTCATAGGGTGGTAAAACATCAATCAACCAGGCGTCCCCTGGACAATGTCCTTGTAGATGGCCAATTCTCTTAAACTAGAAGTGACTTGCAGTTTCTCAAGTCGCTTATGACACAGAAAAAAAGGTCAATTGTTAGCTACTTGAATTTCCTAATCTACTTCTTTAAAGTTTCTGAAAAGGGCAAAGCTGGTCCTCACTCATGCCAATTATGGATAACATCATCTATGGCTCCAATGGCCTTCTTGTAAAAGAAATTAAACTGAAATAAATGTTATACTTCTAGAACATCTCCATTATAAGACAAGTTGAGACAACTTGAACTGTCACAAAAATTCAGAATTTTGTTACTGACATCAAAAATAGTGTAAATGATAGTGTAAAAATGATAAAGACCTCTAAAGGCAGTGGGGTTTAATGGTGATCAGTACCATTTTGCATTTGATTCCCTGGAATCCTCGGATTGCCTTTGACAATCATAGCAAAGAAAACAAGATATCTGAATAYTTTTTGAGCTGTTGCCAGAAACTAATAATTAATGRAGGTGAAGAGAGAGGGAAGAAAAATGTATTGGTGGATGAATGGATTGGGGGGGGGGGGGAGAGATTGTGAGAGACAGGTGAAGAGATAGAGGAAAAAATATATTGGTGAATGGATAGATGGAGAAGAGGATCAATAAGGAGATGATAGAGGAAGACAGAGAAAGAAATGGGTCAGTAAGAAAGAGAGAATAGAARAGACTCAGTGTATTGTCATTGTGTGACACGTACCCAATGTCTGTTTCCTTTTAAATACCCAAGCAACCAATAAAGTTTTTAAAGATCACAATAGCAAATACCTGTGTTTCTTCATGCACGGGCTCAATTTTATTTCCCATATTTGCAGATTAGTGGTATCTTTGCTGTTTGTCACCATACCCTCCGATCTCCTGAACAACCTAAGATTTTTAAAAAGGATTTGTTTGGTAATTAACAAACTTCCAAGTGTCAACAACAAAAACAACAAAACTTTATTATGGTCACTGGCCAGAACATTAAGTGTCAAACAGACTACCTCTAAACTACCCATAGATTGTGACTCTGCCATAGATAACCATTAAATTTCTGCTCCCTCTTGGTTTGTTCACACTGTATTTTAAAAATGTTTTAATAGTTTCTGCTCTGTTTCAGATTATCATCTTTGATCGTCCTTCTTTTCAAGAACATCTTGAATTTTATGTCACCCTTTTAGACTTTCTTAAAGAATTGATGGCCAGTGGCCTGAGAGGTTCCTCATGGTTCAGTTTTGTGCCCCATGCTGTTTAACATTTACATGAAACCGCTGAAGAGATCATCCGGAGTTTTGGGGTTTGGTATCAATGCGGATGACACCCAACTATTATTCCTTACCACCCAATGCCAAGGATGCTGTCCTGGTCCTAAACTGGTGCCTGTCATCAGTAATGGACTGGATGAGGGCTAACAAGCTGAAACTAAATCCAGACAACACAGAGGTCAGTCAGAAGGCGGATCAGGGTGTGGGATTACAGCCTATGTTGGATGGGGTCACATGCTCTCTGAAGATCTGGGGGTGATCCTGGACTCATTGCTGACCCAGGAACCCCGGGTGTTGGGGGTGGCCAGGAGTACCTTTGTACAATTAAAACTTGTGCAGCAACTGTGTCCGTACCTTGATACGTCAGATCTGGCCATTGTAGTCCACACCTTAGTCACACCCTGATTGGACTACTGCAATGTTATCTACGTGGGGTTGCCTTTGAAGATACTTTGGAAACTTCAACTGGGACAGAGATCATCAGCCAGGTTACTAACTGGAGTGCTCTATAGGATGAGAACTACTCCCCTGTTATGGCAGCTCCACTGGCTGCCGGTCTGCTTCCAGGCTAAATCCAGAGTGCTGGTCATTATCTTTAAAGACCTAAATGGCTCTGGTCCAGGCTATTTGATTAATTACATCTCCCCTTATAGACCAACTCAGGCACCGCGGTCATCAGAGGAGGTCCTGTTCTCAGTCCCACCCCTGTCTCAAGCACAGCTGGTGGGAATGAGAGAAAGGGCCTTCTCCATGATTGTGGCAGGGCTCCCTCCCTAAGAAAATAAAGATGCCCCCCTCCCTCCTCGCTTTCAAAAACAACTGGAAACATACTTCTGCTTATAGGCTTATGAAGAGGAGGAGGATTAGATAATGATACTTCCACTATACCTCTGATTAAAATCTGTAACCCATATCCGGGCTCTGTTTACCCTGTTAGCCCAGTTAACACCTTTGGCAATAATCAACTTATATACCCCCAATGAATTCTGTCAGCTCTGGGAAATTGATGCTTCTGTTTGATGTTTTGTTTTATGTTGATATAATTTATTTGCTAGGTTATGTCTTATTTTAATTTTAGATGCTAAGTTAGAATTTGTTTATATATGTTTGGCTATTATTATTATTTTTTTCTATTATGTGTGTATTGGTTGTTGTATTTTTTTGTGATTGGAATCTGCCCTGAGTCCCTTTGGGAAGATAGAGCAGAATATAAATAAAGTGATATTATTATTACCATCACCATCACCATCACCATCATCATTAGATACATAACAAGATTAGTACACAGAAAACAAAATCACTATGGTGGCTTTTGTATAATGTGCGCTATGCATTATTATTGTATTGGATCACACGTCGGACACTTCCCAAGTGTGTAGGACTGTGTGATGTATTGGCGAATAATGCAGACTATACAAGATCACTATGCTGGCTTTTGTATTGGATCACATGTCGGACACTTCCCAAGTGTGTAGGACTGTGTGATGTATTGGTGAATAATGCGTGCAGATTCGCATAGGGTGGCCTTTTGCAGATGACAGATGGTACTTTTGTCATCACTGATTGTTTTTAAGTGCAGGCCAAGGTATTTAGGCACTACACCCAGTGTGCTGATCACCACTGGGACCACCTTTACTGGCTTGTGCCATTATTATTATTGATACTGATGTACCTTAGAACTTTCTTCGGAATTGAAGATAGTACTCGGATATAAAGAAAAAGTAATGTATTTTGGGGTGTTTTATGCGCATGGATCTGCGTATGTTTCAATCTGGATATGACCAATATGCCTTTTGTGAAATTAGTTTTCTACAGTGAGATGAAATAAGTACAGTACTTGGGGCTCTGCCCTCACTTCTATCTTGTATTAAGGTTTGTGGAAACATTGGATACATTGCTGAGTTTTCAATGGACTTTAAGAAAGCTGATTTTTGTAATTTTAAGGAAATGTCAGGGGTGAACTCATGGGGGAGAATGGTCAAAAGGTGCTTGTGATGGATGGGATTTTTTTAAAGTGACATATTGTTGTACAATGGTGAATTACTCCAACAAGAGAGAAAAGTTGAAAGGTTTCCATAGAAATCATGGGGGATGTAGTGGATTGAGTTTTCAAAGGGAAATATACAGGAAGTGGAAGAAGGGTGAAATCACCAAAGAGGAAAATGAATAGCGAACAGGTCAGGAAAGCTACGGTGTAGAATGAACTCAGGCTTCCTACTGAGATTAAAAACAAAAAGGAGAGTTTTCTTGGTTATGTTCAGAGCAAGATGAAGATCGTGGAAACAGTATGTGCCCTGCATGAAGAACGTGGTAAATGTTAACAAGGGATTGAGAGAAGACATAACTGCTCAAGATCTATTTTCCAAATGGAAAACAGAGCATATAAAGTAGTGCAAATAGAATTAGTACTGAGTTTGCTCCCTCCTTCCTATGACTTCCCTTCACATATTTATACATGGTTATGACGCCTCCTCTCGGCCTTCTCTTCTTCAGGCTAAACATGCCCAGTTCTTTAAGCCACTCCTTACAGGCCTTGTTCTTCAGACCCTTTATCATTTTAGTCGCCCTCCTCTGGACACATTTCAGCTTGTCAATAAAGTTTTTATTGTTTAAAAATAAAGTTTATTATTATTTATTTATTATATTTATTATTGTGGTGGGTGCTTCCTTCCTCTTTTGATATAGGGCTAGTTTTATATACCTGTACTCTGAAAATATTTGAGAACAGGAAAGTCATTCCAAAGGAAATGTAGACCTTTAAGCTGAGTCCCCGGTGGCGCAGTGGGTTAAACCCCTGTGCCGGCAGGACTGAAGACCTACAGGTCGGGTCGCAGGTTCGAATCCGGGGAGAGTGTGGATGAGCTCCCTCTACCAGCTCCAGCTCCTCATGCGGAGACATGAGAGAAGCCTCCCACAAGGATGGTAAAACATCAAAAACATCTGGGCATCCCCTGGGCAACATCCTTGCAGACGGCCAATTCTCTCACACCAGAAGTGACTTGCAGTTTCTCAAGTTGCTCCTGACACGACCAAAAAAAAAACCCAAACAAACAACAACAACAACAACAAAAAGCAGATTCCAAGCCAGCCTAGTTGTAAAAGGGCTTCAAGCCTTGGCATCCCGTCCTCCTTCTCCAAGACCAGGGGTGCATCTGCACTGGAGAATGAACGCAGTTTGAGACCAAATTTCAGAGTCATGGAATCCTGGAAACTGTAGCTTTAGAAAGTTTTAACCCCTCCCCTTCTCCCATTTCTCCCAAGGACTGATGTGATTCCATAGCCTTGAGCCTTGGCAGTGGGGTCAAACTGGATCCATTCCAGTGTGGAAACGTATCCTAAATTGAGAGAGATCATAATATATGTGTCGGGCGGAGGGCGACCTGAAGATGGGGCTCCTGGCCAAAGAGAGGGCGAGCCAAAGAGAAGAAAAGAGAGCCAAAGGGTCCCCATCTCGCCCACCAACCAGGGTCCCTCCAAGGGAGATGATGCGACAGTCCTTTGGTCCAGCGTTTCCTCGCTCTCCTCCTCCTCTCTCTCGGCCTCTCTCTCATTCAAGCTCTTCTCTTCCGAGGTGAAGCTGCCCGGATGGAATAACGGATGGCCAGCCAGGGAGGGGTCCAGAGAGAGAACGGAGGGGTGGGGAGGGGGCGGGAAGAGAGAGAGAGCCAGGGAGAAGGGGAGATGCTGCTGCTGCTTCCCTGGGTGGGCAAGAGCCAGCGGGGAGAGCGCCATCGCCTCTGCCCTTCTCTCCAGACTGTTGACTCCCCTCCTTTCACCATTCAGGGCCAACATGCCTAGGGGAATCTCCTCCAAAAAGGGAGCTTCTTGGTATCCTTCATGGAACACCCATTGTTCCAATATTCCATGATCCGAGTTCCACTCCATGAGTAAACAGAAGGCACAAGGCAAGTCTCAGGATTTGTGCTTCCAACTGTCTTCAAGCCATGCCAACACAGCTAATGACCATAAGGTTGAAAGAGACCCCAAGGGCCATTCAGTCTGACCCCCTGCCATGCAGGAAAACACAGGCCCTGTCTCTTGTTCCCACCAATCGGATCTGCGAAGCTTATCAACTTTTATGGCAAATCTTATAAAATTTTATGACAAAATCCACATTTATATTTTGATTTTGCACTAGCCTGTTAATTGCTGTGAACAGGCAGGATTATTTTTTAATACATATATGTGTTATTGTGATAATTTTATGCTTATGTTGTTTTGTTAATTTTATGTTATGCTGTTTACTCTGTACAACAACAATTTTATTGATTAGCCAGTTGGCCTTATCAAAAATAGACAGTGCAAACACAACACACAACATACAACATATGTCTGGGTCCTCTTAAAATAGAATACAAATATATAGGTATTTAACAACTTAAAACCAATGTAGATATTTGCATCAACTATCCTATTACTCTGGTGATGTTGCTTGGAAATCACCCTGAGTCCCCCTCAGGGAGATAGAGCGGTATATAAAGAAAGTTGTTATTATTATTATTATTATTATTATTATTATTATTATTATTTAATCACATTCCTCATTACAACATTTGCCTCTTTGGACTCTAGTGTGTTAAGGATACAACGGAGGAACAGACCTCCAAAATAGTGGAGACGTGGTAGCAAGGACTGTGTGTATATGTTCATTGGACAGCACATAATCCCCTTTGTTTATTGAGCAGAAATTAGTAAATCCCATCTGTCCACAAATCCATGACCCCAAGCCGAGTTATTTTCTTCTGGCTCTTGTCCTACACAAAGCTGCCAGAAGCGACTTGCAATCCTCTCACACTAGAAGCGACTTGCAGTTGTTCCACACACACACACACACACACACACACACACACACACACACACACACACACACAGTTTCCAGGGCAGCAGAAAACAATTCCTTATCATGGCATCTTTTCAAATGTTTAAACATGGAGATCATGTCTCCTCTCAATCTTCTCTTCTGTAGGCTAAACACATCCACATCCAATACTTCTAGAACATGGCCATATAGCCCTAAAAAACTACAACCCACATCCAGATCCTTACGCTGATGCTCATGTAAGGATTGGCTTTCAGACTTCTCATTATTTTGGTCACCTTCCTCTGGACACGTTCGTTTGTCAATCTCTCTCTGAAATTGTGGTACCCAGAACTGAATACAGTATTCCAGGTGAGGACTGGCCAAAGCAGAATAAGAGAGGGGCACCATTACTTCCCTTCATCTAGATCAGGCATGGACTTTGGCCCTCCCGGTGTTTTGGATTGCAACTCCCAGAAATCCCAGCCAGTTTACCAGCTTTCAGGAATTGTGGGAGCGGAAGTCCAAAACACCTGGAGGGCCGAAGTTTGCCCATGCAACTAGATAGACACTATATTCTTTTTGATGCTGTCCAAAATCCCATTAACTTTTTTGCTGCTACATCATGCTGTTGACTCATGTTCATCTTGTGGTCTCCTGACTCCAAAATCCCTTTCACACGGATCATTTTGCAGCCAGGTGTTCACCCATCCTATATCTGCCCATTTCATTTTCTGTTGCTAAAGTGTAAGGTAATTAATTGGTAGGTTTATTTATCATGTCAGAAGCAAATTGAGGGTACAGTTATAATGAATTTAAAAACACAAACAAAGTTAAAAACTTGGCATTATACTAAATGTCCTTTGACCGGAAGCTGGCCACTTGGGGTGCCTCTAGTGTCGCTGTAAGAAGGTCCTCCATTGTGCATGTGGCAGGGCTCAGGTTGCATTGTAGTAAGTGGTCTGTGGTTTGCTCTTCTCCATACTCACATGTCATGGACTCCCCTTTGTAGCCCCATTTCTTAAGGTTGGCTCTGCATTTCATGGTGCCAGAGTGCCTTCCAAGTCGCCAAATCTTCTGTGTGCTCAGGGGGAAATCTCTCATCTGTTATTAGCCATGGCTTGAGGTTCTGGGTTTTAGCCTGCCACTTTTGGACTCTCGCTTGCTGAGGTGTTTCTGAAATTATCTCTGTAGATCTTAGAAACCTTTTGGTAAGTTATGTTCTCATTTAATTTTTGTTCAATGTTGTCATCACTGTTGTTTTGTTTTGATATTTGATCAGTTTGTTTTGTATTTTTTATTTATGAATATGTTTGGCATTGGCTGTTTGCCATTTTTGTTAGAATCTGCCCTGAATCCCTTTGATGATTATAAATAAAGTTATCATCATAATCATCATCAAGATATCATCAATATAAAGTGGGCCACCTCGGAATGTTTTAATTCCACAACAATAATGAAAGTATTCGTGAACCATCAGGCAGAAGTGGATCTTCTTTATTTTTTATTACAAGCACTTATGAAAAGTTCAGATAACAAAAAAGGCACTGCATGTGAGAAAACAGGGAGAGGCCTTTTCCAAGAGAATTCTTGATGCCCAATATCATTACAATATTTTTCACATGATATAAGATGGATTATCAATCATAATTGAGGCCAGAGTTCTATAAATACTTACCTGGGCTATGCCCCATTCAACAGTAGGATTTGCTTCTGAATAAACTTGGAAGGATTTGCACTGTAAACCCCTCTCCACCTTCAAGACACAGCTGAAGACATACCTTTGCTCACTAGCTTACGATGAGGAGTAGTAGTAGTTGGTAATACTACCATTATACCTCTGATTAATAGTTACCATTGGTATCTGTGCCCTGTTCACCCCACCAGTTCAATAGATATCTTGAGCAGTCATCAATCTATTTGCCCCAAGGAACTGGGAAATTGATACTTCTGGTTGATGTTTGATGTTTTGTTTTATGTCTGAGATAACAGGCTATGTTTTTAATTAAATTTTAATTGTTAAGTCATAATTTGTTTTCATATGTTGGTTGCCAAATTTCGTGTGTTGTTGTTGTTTTCAGGCATTGAATGTTTGCCTTTTATGTTTGGAATCTGCTCTGAGTCCCTCCAGGGAGATAGGGTGGAATATAAATAAAATTGTTGTTGTTGCTGTTGTTGCTGTTATTTTTCATGGCAATTACCTCTTTAGGAGGAGCCCCCGGTGGCGCAGTGGGTTAAACCCCTGTGCCAGCAGGACTGAAGACCGACAGGTCACAGGTTCGAATCCAGGGAGAGGTGGATGAGCTCCCTCAATCAGCTCCAGCTCCTCATGAGAGAAACCTCCCACAAGGATGATAAAAACATCAAAATCATCTGGGCATCCCCTGGGCAACGTCCTTGCAGACGGCCAATTCTCTCACACCAGAAGCGACTTGCAGTTTCTCAAGTCACTCCTGACATGCCAAAAAACAAAACAAAAAACCTCTTTAGGAGTTGATAAGTTCTTCAGTTGTAACTCTATGGTTTGCTAGGACCGTAAGTCAGCTATGATACTGTTGGGTCATATTTGCAGTTTCTGGTAACCTTGGTCCATTCTGGAACATATCCTCCATAAAAAAAACTATATATTCTTCCAGTATTGATCTTATGCATCTTTCCACTTCAAGACATTTGTCTTGGGAGCCATATCAAATGCACCAGGCATCCTTGCTAGTTGGCATTCACATTTCTTGACATATTCTAGGTATCAAACTGTACATCCAATTTAGACTTTTTCCATGGGACAGCTACTATTCAGAAACCCAATATTGAAGATGAAGATGGAATTGGATACAGAGGTTATGTAACCATATATTTCCATTGGTACCTGAGTTGCTGTTTTCGCAGGATCTATCATATATATTCAGCCTTCTGCATACCACTCCGCAGGATGCAATGGGTTAAACCTTTGTGCTGGCAGGACTCCGGAAAGAACGGGTTGAGCTCCCTCTGTCAGCTCCAGCTCCCCATGTGGGAAAATGAGAGAAGCCTCCCACAAGGATAGTAAAACAGCAAACATCTAGGCATCCCCTGGGCATCCTTGTAGATGGCCAATTCTCTCACACCAGAAGCGACTTGCAGTTTCTCAAGTCGCTCCCGACACACACACACAAAACCCTACTCCACAGTATGTTTACTCCTAAAAAGCTCTGAATATCAATTGAGTGTAATAGGGGCAGGGGACTGAGACCTACTATTTCCCTATACTGACCCATGCGTTGCCATTTCTTCTCCTGCTGTTTGTCCATGATCTTCGTTACCATTGTCCTTGGTAGTTTTGTGGAGAAGTTGGGGTCCAGCCAGACCAATTATTAGTGCTCCAATTGGAGCTGTGATCAAGATTGCCAGGAAAGCGACCGTCAAGACATCCATGCCGTATTTTTCTAATGCTTCATCTTGTTGAGTTCGTGCTGTATCTAAAGCAACAGAACCAATTGCAGCCTGATAGGAGAGAGAGGTGGAAAAACACTGCTTGTTATTGCATGATTATTGCACTATCCCAGCAAATCAAGAGCACAGAGCATAGAAAGCAAAGCTATTCTCTTGAGAAATGTCCTCCCCTCCCAAGCAGTAGAAGCAGTCTGAAGCTTCCCTGCCAAAATCATATGCACGAATTCACCATTTCCTTAAAGCAGAATGAGACAGCCACACGCAAACTGGTAACTGAAATATAATGTGTGTTTGTGTTTCGGGTGTGTGTGTGTGATGCAAAACAACACCATTGCCTGTCTATACACACACACACACACACACACACACACACACATACTATTGTCAGAACCATGATGTTGTATGATTAGGCTGAAACAAATACGATGGCATAAATGTTGAAAACAGCAACCTTCTACAAGCCTCCTATACTGGATATTTGTTATGTATATACCGTATATACTCGAGTATAAGCCAACCTGAATATAATCCAAGGCACCTAATTTTACCACAAAAAACTGGGAAAACGTATTGACTCGAGTATAACCCGAGGGTGGGAAATACAGCAGCTAATGGTAAATTTCAAAATAAAAATAGATACAATAAAAATACACGAATTAAGGCATCAGTAGGTTAAATGATTTTTAATATTTACATAAAACTGTAATTTAAGATAAGACTGTCCAACTCTGATTAAACCATTATTCTAACCTTTTTCAATTTATATGTGCTTATGTATCCTTCCAATAATAAAGTAAAATAATAAATGTAATAATAATAATAGAGCAAAATAATGAAAATGAAACAATAACAGTAATAATAGAGTAAAATAATACACGTAATAAAAACAATAATAAATAGAGACAAATAATAAATGAAATAATAATAAATAGAGTAAAATAATAAATGTAATAAAATAATACTAATTACAGAGTAAATAAATAGTCTTGACTCAAGTATAAGTCGAGGGGAGCTTTTTCAGTCGCTGAAAAGGCGCTGAAAAACTAGACTTATATTCAAGTATATACAGTAATTCAGATTGCTTACTATATTGTATGTATATTTTGATATACAGTTTTCCCTTAACTCTATGTTGTTTGAGGCTGTGGGAGGGACTGCAGACCATGTGACCAGATCTGAGACTATTCAGACGGAGACTCCATTTTTAAAAGTCAGTTTGCATCAGAAGCAGTACAGTACAGTTTAGAAGTCAGTAGTGTCAGTCTGTATTGAATCAATGTACTAAACTGAAGAGAGTGTTAGTCTGTATGCAACAAAGAAGAGACTGAAACAGAATGTTTTAGAGAACTTACTATTTAAACTCTCAAACAATAAGAAATATACCTGTATGCTGAACACAGGAAGTTTGTAAGTAAATAAACTATTTTAAACTACCTATTTTTGGTCTCTTGAGAGCATGATTTAAAAACAATATATTTTACGGGAGAGTAGTTGTTTATGGGCAACTGAAATAACACTTCTGAAGATCTGCTATATGTTTTATGCATTGGCATATCTTTGTTCCTAACAGTTCAGAGAGATAACCAGGTATATCAGTCTAACAACTAAGAAACCTGATTTGCCTTGCACGAATACTAGTGGGTATTTACTACAAAGGAGAAGATTTAATCAAATGAGTATTTAACTCTTCTTAGGAAGACCATACTTTACAAAAGGGTTATGATTATTCCAAATAATGTGAATGCCAAACGGGTCACACTTCAAAAAAGCTATGGAGATTTCTGGTTTCCCAAAAGGTTATGGTATCTAAAAGGGCATGCCTTTCCAAAAGTAACTATGTGCTGTGATAAGGAAATGAGAAAATTGTGTTTAAGTGCAGACCTCTGTGGAGGGAATCCAAAGTCTTAATTTGGTTGCCTATTACGTCTTTGACTCACAAATGATTGGGAAGCACAGCTACCAAGACATACTGTACCTGCACAGTTGCCTTGGGAATCCATGCCAAAGAAATAAATATCTTCTCCTTAATGTTAAAGCCAGCAAAACACACCAAGAGGAATGTGGCTGTAATTCGGGCTGTCAGTCCAACAAATAGTGTGGCCACACAGAGTCCTGTAGCAGGGAAATACAAACAAACAACCAAACAAAGGAAACAAGTAAAAATATAGGTAAAGCACAGGGCATGTGTTCAAACCAATCATTCTGGTCAACAGATGCAGCACCAGCAACCAGTAATCATGGCCACAATGCTTTGTTTCTTTGCCAGCCAAGTTCTTACAAGGGAAAACTTTCTGTGTTGTCAAAGGTTTTCATAGCTAGAATCACTGGGTTGCTGTCAGTTTCCAGGCTGTATGGCCAATTCCCAGAAGCATTCTCTATTGATGTTTCACCCACATCTATGACAGGCACTCTTAGAGGTTGTGAGGTCTGTTGAAAACTAGGCAAGTACAATGTATATATCTGTGGAATGTCCAGGATGGGAGAAAAAACTCTTGTCTGTTTGAGGCAACTGAATGTTGCAATTGGCCACCTTGATTAGCATTTAATGGCTTGCAGCTTCAAACCCTGGCTGCTTCTGCCTGGGGGAAACCTTTGTTGGGAGGTGTTTGCTGGCCCTGATTGTTTCCTGTCTGAAATTCGCCTGTTTTCTGAGAGTTATTTCTCCCACCCTGGACATTCCACAGATATATAAACCCCACTTGTTTAGTTTCCAAAAGACCTCACAATCTGTGAGGATGCCTGCCATAGATGTGGGTGGAACCTCAGGAAAGAATGCTTCTGGAATATGGCCATACAGCCCAGAAAACTCACAGCAACCCAGGGAAACTTTCTGATGATGGAACAAAAGCTTTCTTGTCCTCATATCTTCTAGGGACATGGGGAGCAGTTTCACAAAATTTTGGAACCTTCTGCAATAGACATGTTTTCCAACCAGGATGTAAATTGGAAAAGTATAGTGAAAAAGTGGCTAAGAAGATTTTTTTCCCCCTGTTCAGAAAGTAAACCACAAATCAGTGTGATAAAATTGAAGGAGAGAAGATTTGAAATATAACATTTAAAAAAACCTATGGATCACAGATGGGCTGTGGCACTCCAGATTTTCCTGGGTGACCAATGCAGCTTTCCAACCACTGCTTTGTAGTCTGACCTTCTAGGACAGCATTTCTCAACCTGGGGGTTGGGTCCCCTGGGGGTGGGGTCACAAAGAGCTGCCAGAGGGGTCACCAAAGACCATCAGAAAACATAGTAAATCTCTTCATATTCTCAGATCCTTCAAAGCCGATTCAGATTTCATCAATTCCTCTCTTCCTAACTTACCTTTAAACTCTCTATGGGCACCCTAACTCTATGCCAGCGTTTTTCAACCTGTCGGCACCATGGGAGGGGGGGGGTGTCATGAGGGAGTGTCAGAGGGATTTCCAAAGATCATCAGAAAACACAGTATTTTCCGTTGGTCATGGGGATTCTGTGTGGGAAGTTTGGCCCAATTCTATTGTTGGTAGTGTGCCGTTACACCCAGATGTTATAAAAATAAAACTATGATGTGCTGCTCTCTATGTCTGAGTGAACTGCGAGTGTCTTTCTATAGAAGTTTGAGATATTCAGCAACTGAGGTCATTAAAGGTTTTGAACATCAAAAAAGGGATATTTATTCTTCAAAGTCCTTGCAGACTTGGCACAGTTCATCAAAGTTATAAACCGAACAGTCAATTGGTGAAGCAATAGTGATGATCTTTCTTTCCTTTCCTTGAGTTATTAAGGCAACCTTTCCCCCAAATGGCAGATAAGATACTGGAATCTTTCACCCTAACCCTGAGCTGCTATGATTCAGAAAAAAAACAGGTTTTTCCCTTATCTATAGCTCAAGGTTAGCTTTGGAGATGAAGTAATGCTCAATATCTCAATACTAAATTTATCTATCTATGACTCAATCTCACTCAATATTACTCAATATTTATCTATAGTATCTCAATCTATATTTGTTTCTCAATATCTATCTCAATATCTTAATATCTCAATATCTCAATAACTATCTTTATCTTTCTATCTATTTCTCAATATGCTTTTCTATATCTCAATCTTCAATAGTCTTAATATTCATTAGTTCTTTCTATATCTCAATCTTCAGTAGTCTTAATAGTACTTACAATGATTCTCCCAGAGCTACCCTGACTAACCACCAGCACATCTGAAGTTCCTTCTCTAACTAAAAAGGCAGGGGAGATTCCAAAATGGAGATCTCAGCCCAGGAGAAAAGGCGGTCCCTAGACCCAAAGAGATACCTTTCTGAACCTACAGCTGCAAAGAGGGCCTGCAGGCTGGCTTTCTAGCTTCTAATGCTGTTAACTTTCAGAGTGCAACTGAGATTGTAGCAACTCTGGGGAAATGCAAAGGAACACTATCCCATGCAACTAAAGGTAATGCAAACTATGCTCCTCAAAGATGAAACAGGTAGGGTTCAGAATGCTCTTTGATTGCAGGTGAACTGTAAATCCCAGCAACTACAACTCCCAAATGGCAAGGTCTATTTTCCCCAAACTCCACCAGAGTTCACATTTGGGCATATTGAGTATTCGTGCCAAGTCTGGTCCAGATTCATCATTATGTGAGTCCACAGTGCTCTCTGGATGTAGGTGAACTACAACTCCAAACTCAAGATCAATGCCCACCAAACCCTTCCAGGATTTTCCGTTGATCATGGGAGTTCTGTGTGCCAAGTTGGATTCAGTTCCATTGTTGGCGGAGTTCAGAATGCTCTTCTATTTTAGGTGAACTATAAATTCCAGCAACTACAACTCCCAAATGACAAAATCAACCCCCGGAATATCAGGTATTTGTGCCAAATTTGGTCCAGTGAATGAAAATACATCCTGAATATCAGATATGTGCATTACAATTCCTAACAGTAGAAAAATTACAGTTATGAAGTAGCAACAAAAATAATTTTATGGTTGGGGGTCACCACAACATGAGGAACTGTATTAAGGGGTCATGGCATTAGGAAGTTTGAGAAACACTGTCCTAAGAGATGTAAAGAATAGGCTAGCCACAAATTCACGAAATAATAGAGCTTTTCTACTTACCAACAGTTTCAGGCTTAAGGGATGCAACAGTTATTTCAGCTCCAATTAAACCAAAGAGGAAAGGCTGGAAAATCTCCCAGGCAACTGCAATAATTTTTTCTACCTCTTTCTGAAGGAAGAGAGGGAGAGAAAGACAAATAATGTAATATTACAAAAGAGTGTTTTGGTGTAACAGTTTGTGGCAATGTATAATTAATGCCTTAAATAATATCCCAAGCTGTGATTCCAATGTACTATTGTGTACTTTCTCAAGTTTTGGAAAATGGGGAATTTCATAATAATTGCATTAATTAATTGCACAATTGTGGCTAATTGGTTTTTAAAACCTTTTAAAGGTACCAGCCATGGAGCAGGAGATAAAGCAAGCAGAGCGATTAAAGGGTATTGTGACATTTCAAGTCCAAAAAAGCAAACATTGGAACTACCACCACTGAAGCATAAATGAATGAGAGTGTGAAAGAGTGCATTACCTTTTTTGCTACCTTTCCAAGGATAGGAGAAGTGATTTTCAAGCGGAACAACTCGAAACAACTGACAAAGTGTGATAAGCCTTCACATTACAAAGCCTAGTGTTTGGGAATCAACGTCACAGTCACTCACTTTCTCATCGGACCATGCTATTCCAGCCAGAAATGCTAAGACGATGGTGCAGAGTCCTCCAGTTCCAGGGAATCCAAAATACATGCTGCCAAAGACAGCAAACATAGAAAGAGACATCACAAAGAATGCTCTCTTCCATACCAGTGATTCCTAGGATCAGGGAAGCAAAACGAAAACAGAGGTCTTCACAAATATCAGACCATAAACAAAAAAGAATAATGGTACAGAACAAAATAGTTTGCAGCTCTGCATAATTGAAGTTGGCCCTTCCACACAGCCTTATAACCCAGAATATCAAAGCAGGAAATTCTACAAATTCTTCTTTGAACTGGAATATATGGCAGTGTGGACTCAGATAACCCAGTTCAAAGAAGATATTGTGGGATTTCTTGCATTGATATTGTGGATTATATGGCTGTGTGGAAGGGGCCTGGGTCTATACTGCCATATCATCCAGATTATCAAATTAGATAATCCACATTACACTCAGTCCCTTCTACACTGCCTTACAAAATCCAGATTATCTATTTTGAACTAGATTACCTGGCAGTGTAGACACAATGTGGATTATCTGCTTTGACAAACTGGATTACTGTATATACTCGAGTATAAAACAACCCAAATATAAGCCGAGGCACCTAATTATACCACAAAAAACTGAGAAACATACTGACTCAAGTATAAACTGAGGGTGGGAAATGCAGCAGCTACTGGTAAATTTCAAAATAAAAATAGATACCAATAAAATTACATTAATTGAGGCATCAGCAGCCTAACTATTTCTGAATATTTACATAAAACTGCCCAACTCTGATTAAACCATTATTCTACCCTTCTTCAATATAACTGTGCTTATGTATCCTTCCAATAATAATAGAGTAAAATAATGGAAATGTAATAATAATAATAATAAATAGAGTAAAATAATGGAAATGTAATGAAATAATTATTATAGAGTAAAATAATGGAAATAATAAAAATATTGTAAAATAATAAATATAATGACAATGATGAATAAAATAATAAATGTATTCGTAATAATAGAGTAAAATAATAAATCTAATAACAATAGATAAAATAATAAATGTAAAAATAATAGGAAAAATAATAAATGTAATAATACTACTAATAATAGATAAAATAAATGTAATAAAATAATAGAGTAAAATAATGTAAATGTAAAAAAATAGTAAATAGAGCAAAATAATAAAAGTAACAACAACAACAACAGAGTAAAATAATAAATAATGTTGACTCGAGTGTAAGCCTAAGGGGGCTTTTTTAGCCTTAAAAAGGGGATGAAAACTTGGCTTATATATGGTGCCTGAGTCTACACTGCCATATTATCTGGTTCAAAACAGATAATCTGAATTTTATATGGCAGTGTAGATGGGGCCGTAGTGCCAGCCTCAAACTATTCTGCTAGAAATCTAATTTGTTCTTATTTAACACTCCCTACTTTTTAAAAATCATTTTCATCCAGGGCATGGGGAGTTTATTTTAAGCACAGAAGATGTAACACTAACACTTATGTAACACTATATATATATAGTTTTGGTTACCTGATCTTTGCTAGGAAAGTAGCGAACAAAAATGCCCAAAAGGCCCCCAGCTGCTATACCAACGGCAACTTCCAGCAAACCACGGAGGATATTATCGAGGGTGGAGCCTTTTTGTGAAAAGAAAAACAGTGGGAGTTAATGGATTTTTCAACAATTTCTTTGACAGTTTTTATCAATATGATTTTGATGATGAAAGAATAGACTTTACCCAAAAGGATTCCAAGTGTCTTTTCATTGTGGCAGTCTTCTCAAACCAAATGCCTAATTGTACTACAGTTTTCATAATACCTAGCCAGCGTGACTAATATATCAGAGTGGTGGGAGATTATGACCTAATTAAAACTGTTAGTCCCAATTGAGGTAAACTCATTGAATCAATTATCAGTGAGTTCCTATTTATGTGAATCCCATTGGTTCAATGGGTTGGTTTAAAAATGGTAAAGGTTTCCCTTGACATTAAATCTAGTCGTATCTGACCATGTAGGATGGTGTTCTTTTCTGGAAGGGCCCTAAGACTGTATTGGTCATAAAAATGGTCATAGAAATGGACCACATAGTTACTAGAAGTGGAAGTGAATAATTGTTTTGATATCAATGTCCTATGCTAAGCATGTGGGAAGAGAGATGGACAAATGTCAGTGAGCTGGAATAAGCAAAGACCACAAGCATTGAAGCGATGCTCATACACCATCAACTCCACTGGACTGGCCACATTGTCTGAATGCCCGATCACTGTCTCCCAAAGCAGTTACTATATTCCCATCTCAAGAATGGGAAATGTAACGTTGGTGGACATGAAAAGAGATTTAAAGATGGGCTTAAAGCCAACCTTAAAAAGTGTGGCATAGACACCGAAAACTGGGAAGCCCTGGCCCTTGAGTGCTCTAACTGGAGGTCAGTTGTGACCAGCAGTGTTGCGGAATTCGAAGCGGCACGAATGAAGGGCGAAAGGGAGAAATGTGCCAAGGTGTGTCAAGCCAACCCTGACCAGGACTGCCTTCCACCTGGAAACCGATGACCTCTCTGCCGGAGAACATGCGGATCAAGAATAGGGCTCCACAGCCACCTACGGACCCACTGCCAAGACACCACACTTGGAGGACCATCATCCTCAGGCTATGAGGGATCGCCTAAGTACGTAAGTATTATGGAGTGGCCGGTTACCTGAAGAGAAGGCTATGCCTAAGCAGGTATTGAAACCTGTGATGGCTAGAATGTCATCAAAGCTTCCGGCAGCCATCAGCAAGGTTGGGACACCTTTGTCAACACCATATCCTCCTGCTTGTAAAACCAACATTGAAGGGACCACAACAGCAGGAGACACAGCACCTAAAACAAATCTGAACATAAACAGTACAGATTGAATGTCCCTTATGCAAAATGCTTGGTATCAGAAGTGTTTTTGGATTTTAGATATTTTAAGAATTTGGAGTACCTGTATTTGTGTATAGGTACATAATAAGATATCTTGGAGATGGGACCCAAGTCTAAACACAGCATTCATTTGTTTCAAATATACCTTATACACATAGCATAAAAGTAATGTTATATAGTACTTTTAACAATTTTGTTCATAAAACGCTTGTGTACACGAAACCATCAGAAAGCAAAGGTGTCACTATATCTGGCCCCATCTATACTGTCATATGATCTGGTTTCTGAATCCAGATCATCTACTTTAATATATGTATATATGTGTGTATGTGTATACTGTGTGTTGTGTGTGTGTGTGTGTGTGTGTGTGTGTGTATGTATATATATATATATATATATATATATATATATATATATATAATTTATATTCTGCCGTTCTCACTCTGCAGAGGACTCAGGGTGGATTACAATGCACATATACATGGCAAACATTCAATGCCATTTAGACATACAACATATATTGACAGACACAGTGGCAATTTATCATTCCAGCTGTGCCCAAGCTTTTCCGGCTTCATGAGGGTATGCTCGATTCCAACCACAGGGGGAGCTGCCGTTTCACCATCCATTGTGACACTGAGTCCTTTGATGGAGTACTTCCTCATTCTTGTGCACTGCTGGAAGGTTTTATGGCATCGTAAATTAGTTAAATTAGCCTCCCCGCATAAAATGGTACCTAAATTTCCTACTTGACAGATGTAACTGTCTTTTGGGCTGCATAGGTTTGGGCTGCAGCTTGGGTGTGACCCTGGATTCGTCGCTGAGCCTGGAGCCCCAGGTCTCGGCGGTGACCAGGGGAGCATTTGCACAGCTCAGGCTCGTGCGCCAGCTGCGCCCGTATCTTGGGAAGTCTGACTTGGCCACGGTGGTACACGCTCTTGTCACATCCCGCCTAGACTACTGCAACGCTCTCTACGTGGGGCTGCCCCTGAAGACGGCCCGGAAGCTGCAATTAGTCCAACGCGCGGCAGCCATGATTCTAACAGGAGCGGAGCGCAGGGAGCACACAACCCCCCTGTTGCACCAGCCCCACTGGCTGCCGATTTGCTACCGGGCCCAATTCAAGGTGTTGGTATTGGCCTATAAAGCCCTAAACGGCTCCGGCCCAAGATACCTATCCGACCGCATCTCAGTCTATGAACCCACCCGGACTTTGAGATCTTCCGGGGAGGCCCTGCTCTCGATCCCGCCAGCCTCTCAAGCACGGTTGGCGGGGACGAGAGATAGGGCCTTCTCGGTGGTGGCTCCTCGGCTGTGGAACGCCCTTCCTGTAGATGTTAGGCTGGCACCATCTCTCATGACATTCCGTAGAAAGTTGAAGACCTGGATGTTTGTGCAGGCTTTTGAGTAATTCAGTGCAATCTCTGGTAATTGAACATAGGAAAGGAACAATGGACGACGAATTTGGATCACGTTTGGATGATGAGGCGATCCGGGGTGGGGGGATTGGTGATAACTGTGTATTGATGATTGTTTATTAGCTAGTAATGGAAATGTGTAATTTAACTGTTATTGTATATTAATTATTGCTGTTTTTATTGTCTTTGCTGTTTTGGAAACCGCTGTGAGTCGCTCTCGGGCTTGAGATACAGCGGTATACAAGAATAGTAAATAATAAATAAATAAATAAATAAATGTGTTTAAACAGTCTATTTTAATGCTGAGATAAGTGTTTTTAATATTTATGTATGCATATAATGAATTATTGTCCCGGCATTGAATATTTGCCGTATATATGCTGTGCTCTGCCCTGAGTCCCCTTCAGGGTGAGAAGGGTGGAATATAAGCATTTTAAATAAGAAAATAAATAAATAAATAATAGGTAGACAGCAAGCTAGACTAATGGCCAGAAGCTCACTCCGACCTGGGCTGGCTTCGAACTCATGACATCTCGGTCAGTAGTGATTTAATGCAGCTAGCTCCCAGCTAGCTGCACCACAGCCCAGTCCTTTGAACTGGATTATAAGGCAGTGTAGACTCATACAATTCAGTTCAATGCGGATAATCTGGATTTGGAAACTAGATTATATGGTAGTGTGGATCCAGCTTCAGGCACTCGTGGACAACTTCAAATTTTGAAGTATTTTGGAATTCTGGATAAGCAGTGCCCAAGCTAATTTGAGTAAAATATAGTGAGTGTGCTTTCAAAACTCTTTGGGCCCTTCCACACAGCCCTATATCCCAGAATATCAAGGCAGAAAATCCCAGATTATCTGAGTGTGGACTCAGATAACCCAGATCAGATATTGTGGAATTTCTGCCTTGATATTCTGGGATATAGGGCTGTGTGAAAGGGCCCTTAGTTTACTTTGCTTACTCCAGAACAATGTGAATTTCAAATATGTGTCATTTGTTTAATCTTTGTTTATCTATCTTGCATGAAAGAGTGAAGGGGGCTTCAGTTCAAGAAAAATAAATGTGCTATTTATACATTGGGGGTGGGGGTGGGGAGTGGCTTACCCTAACATAAAGCCCCATTGCCAAGGCAGGTGCATGAGGAAGTGAGACAGAACAGCGGCTACACAAGCCTCAGTGAGACAGGGTCCCATACTCAGCCTTAAGCAGACAGCCTTCAGTTTTTTCAGCGCCTAGAAGATAAACACAGTGAGACATCATGAACACCATTTCAGATTTCTCTGTTCTACATAACTTTCATAGTACTGCATAAAAGAAAAGTACTTGGATCCAAGGGGTGGAGAATTTAGTAGGATCCAAAAGGTTCTCAAGCTAGGATAGGAAATAGTAGTCGGAATATCATCATATCATCTGAGTATCTGAAACCGTCATGAGAATAGAGAGGTACATTTTGGGGCTCTAACACTCATAATCCTTAGCCAGCATGGCCAATTGTCATGCTGATTAGATGACTCTGGAAGTTGTAGTTCAAAACCAAAGCTTTCTCAAGTCTAGTCATGTCCGATTCTTGGGGTTGGTGCTCATCTCCATCTCTAGGCCGAAGAGCCAGCATAGTCTGTAGACACCTCCAAGGTCATGTGGCCGGCATAACTGCATGGAGTGCTGTTACTTTCCCGCCGGAGTTGTACCTATTGATCTACTCACATTTGCATGTTTTGGAACTGCTAGGTTGGCAGAAGCTGGGGCTAACAGCAGGAGCTCATGCTGCTTCCCGGATTCGAACCTGCGACCTTTGTTTAATATGGGAATAAACCTCATGCTCAGATACCGATTTGTATCCACATCCATTCCAGCATGTCCACAAGGTGAATCTTGGAATCATGCACTTTCTTTTTGGGTTAGCCTCAGTTTACTGTATATTACTTGAAATCTGGCAATCCATCTTAATAATGATTTCCTAAAGCAATGCAGCCTCAAATGCCAGTTTATAATGCTGGCTTGTTTCAACTAAGGGCCCTTCCACAAAGCCATATAACCCAGAATATCAAGGCAGAAAATCCCACAATATCTGCTTTGAACTGGGTTATTTGAGTCCACACTGCCATATATTCCAGTTCAAAGCAGATAATGTGGGGTTTTATTCAGCTGTGTGGAAGGAGCTAAGTAGAGTTGCAAGTAATCACAGTTTAGGTTTTTTTGACAAATTGGCATACACCAAATAAGAACTGCTGATTTCCTTGCAGCCGTGAGAGCAAAATGCAAGACCAAAGCTTGCTAAGGTTCAGGCTCATAACTCTACACCATAGTTTGGCATTACATCCAAATCCAGCCAAAAGTATATTGAAATTGCCATCTCAATGTAGCTGAAATTAAGAAAAATATAAGAGATAGTTCTGCATGAGCAAGCAGGATTTCACATGGACGTTGCTGTTGATTTTTCCTTATGCAATGTGTGACAAACGTAAGTTTTGGACCATGTTTTTTGGATGTCCTCCGTAAATAGAAGCTTCTCATATGCAATGCTAAACAAGGACACAGGTAGGTTCATGTCCCTATTCTACAATAATTGTGGTCCTGTGGTGAGAGGGATGAACTGCAATTTGGCAGTTCTAGTTTCTAATCCTCATTTATCCATGAAATGCTTAGTCTGTGAACTCGTACAGCACTTTCATAGTTTTATCGTTGATCAGAAATGCAACCCATTCTAGTATCATTGATGGCTTATATGCATCATGCAAGACCCATTTGATACTCTACCTTTGGGTCAAGGCCAAGGCCAGCACGGACCAAGATAACAGAGAGAGCAATGTTTCTCAGGGTTGTTCCCCATTTCACCTTAATCTGGACTATATCAGTGAGGTATGGGACATTTCTGAGGAGGAATCCAACAAGAAGCATTCCTAGAGTGAACGGAGAGACATTGTGTTGACACTGAAAATATACAAAATGCTCAGAACAGAATTGGAAGGCTCTAGTGGTGTGTCCTCCACTCTCAAAAGCATACCATTTTATAATGTAAGCCCATGTCTCATTTTTTTCAATTACAGAAATTCTCCCAGAAACAATTAACGAAACAAACTAAATGTGATGGGAAAGTCTACTCATAACTTTAATGGGCCCAGGAATTAAAATGCGTTCTCATGAATTACCTCTCCAGCTAAAACAATGAAAACTGTTGTTGCTTAATTTTATTCCCCAAGTTTTGAAGCTAAAAGGCATTTAATTGCTAATCAAGTAAGTCAACTGCAACATTTCACACTTGCCTCTAGCAAACCAGAGTTCTTTCCTCCACCCTGGACATTCCACAGATATATAAACCTCACTTGCCTAGCTTCCAACAGACCTCACAACCTCTGAGAATGCCTGCCATAGATGTGGGTGAAATGTCAGGAGAGAATGCTTCTGGAACATGGCCACATAGCCTGGAAAACTCACAGCAACCCAAAGGAAGAAGACTTTGCTTACAAAAGGCCTTTGTAAAAAGCAGATGCTGCATATGCTTCCTAGGGTATCAGCACACTTCCTACAATTTTAGCAAAGTAATTAGGAAGGGAAAAAAATAATGTTCCCTCTCTTGTGAGTTTTTTTTTTTTTGGCATTTTCTCTGGGCTGGATACAGGTTGCAGCCAATGAGATCTCTCAGTGTTAACTCTGGCAACCTGGACACCTGCCCTGCCATGAACTGCCATTGGTAGGTACTGGATGTGTAACAAGCCCTCTTTCCCCAAACGTGGAAATGAGAGGCTGGCAGCAAAATGTTTTGGTTTTTGGAGGATTTCTGAATATGAGAGACCCCCCCCCCCCACCTCTATTACACTATCTGACAGTAGCATACTTACCAAGAAGTGGAGGGAAGGGTGGTAAACCAGGCAATTTAATTAGACCCATAAGTTTACCACCGATTACAGCAAAAAAGAAGAGGAACAAAATTCCAAAAAGATTCCCACCCGGAAGACATTCATCGCCTGTAATAGACCAGATCACAGCCCAGACCAGAACTATTGCGGTTCCTGGAAAAAAAAAAGACAAAAAACCCTTCAGCATTATAAAGAAGATGCTTTAGAATTTACTAAAAAGTTTAGTAGGGGAAGAGGATTTGCAATTAGGGCAGTGGAAGAAACAGAGTTTGCACACGTAATTCTAATATTTTGAGACCCCCACTCACCCACACTTCCCCATTGGGACTCTTCTATTTTGCAAAATGCAGCCTCTGATGTAATTACAATGTTTAGGTCTATGTTCTATGAATGAGGGATTCTAGTGCTCTGCATTCTGAACACTTTTCTAAAATTCATTTGAACTCCCAGGCCCCTTCTACACTGCCAGATAATCCAGGTTATCAAATCAGAAAATTCACATTATCTGATTTGAACTGGATTATCTTAGTTTGTACTGCCATATAATCCAGGTCATAGCAGATAATGTGAATTTTATACAGCTGTGTGAAAGGGCCTTCTGTAATTTTCCATTCTACTAGTTGCAATACCTGCAATTTCTGTAATACTGCAGCATCCATCTACTTGGCCTGCTAGATGGTTCATAATTCACACAGAGAATTGGGAATGTTTAGTGATTTGATAACAAAGATGAAAATTCATGTTTTGTCTCCGGGAAAGAACAACCTGTTTGATAAGATTTTAATTGCTTTGACTATTTATTGTGAGTGTTTTTTAACTGATTGTTTTTGGAGGCTGCCTTGAGTCCCACTCTGGCAAAACGGTGGCACAGAAATGCAACAAAACCAATCAATCTAGAACAAGCATGGAGATTTTATCAACTTCCAATTCTTAGTATTCTCTTAGGCATCTTCTACATTGTTATATAATCCAGATTATCAAATCAGATAATCCACATTATCTGCTTTGAACTGGATTGTAATCCAATTCAAATCAGATAATCTGGATTTTATATGGTAGTGTAGATGGGGCCTGAATGATTCACACCCTGGTTGTACTATCTAGGGCTGATGGAAACTATAGTCCAATTATCACATGAATATTTTCTCCATGTTTGATCTATCCACTCTTTGAGGAAAACTTTGGATTTTCCACTTTTCTTCTTCTTCTTCTGCACCTAGCTACTTATATAACCTTATATTATTCAAGGTACCTAATAGGATGCAATGGAAAGGCATAGGGCCCTTCCACACAGAAATATAACCCAGAATATCAAGGCATTAAACCCCACAATATCTTATTTGAATTGGGCCCCCTTCCACACAGCTGAATCAAGTCCCACATTATCTGCTTTGAACTGGAATATATGGCAGTGTGGACTCAGATAATGGCGTTCAAAGCAGATATTGTGGGTTTTTCTGCCTTTATTTTCTGGGTTATATGGCTATATAGAAGGGCCCTGGGCTATCTGAGTCCACACTGCCATATATTCCAGTTCACAGCAGATAATGTGGGATTTGATTCAGCTGTTTAGAATGGGCCATAAACTGATACGCCACACACCTTCCAAAGGTTTTGAACAAATTGGGTTGAAAACACTGTGATGGGTTGTGGGAGGAATATGGCAGAGGTTAGTGTATTTTACCTAATCCAAACATTGACACATTAAGACCAGGTTAAAAATAAAAATCCTTAAAATAACAATTCACAACAGGAAACTGAATAGCATGACTTTCCTTTTTCATTCTTGCATCAGCCTTGTACCTCTTTTCTTTCTTTTACGTACCATAGGTTACTATTCTTGCAAGTATGCCTTGGGGTGGACAAGCACAGATTTGCTTCATTCTGCCCAGTGTGGTTGGCTCAGGCAGGGGTTCCTGGGTTTGTGGTCTATAGCTGCTCAGCAGAGCCGTTTCTTCCGTTTGTACATTGCCATCAGTAGTCTTGGGGTCTACAACACCAGCTTCCTGAATGGAAGCAAAGAAACAATCTCAACAGCAGTGGTCTGTACATTTCCAGTTAGGTGCCAAGCTGCTAAGGACCTTTTCACAAAAGTCCCTTGCTCCACTAGAGAATTTGGGTTTAATCTATGGATGAACAAAGTGTGGTGCACAGCTCTATGTGGTCAGAGATCAAAATGTCATCAAAAGACCTTTAAAAGGCATGAAAAGGGGGCTGGCCCAAATTATGCCCGGGGGGGGGGGGGTTCTAACAAGAATGGAGCATAAGTTATTAAAAGGCAGCTTTTATGCCTAAAGCAACCCAGAAAGTTCCCCAAACATTTTCAGAATGCCCCTCATGTCCCTTTAAAACATGTATGTATATACARACACACACACATATATACACACAGTACAATTCCCTATCATAGTGATGGTAGGCAACTGTGGAATGATAAGGGGCTCATTGGTCCAACTTGGAGGGTTGCCCCACTGCACTTAGTCTATATAATAATAATAATACCAACAACAACAACTTTGGAACACCCTCCCCAGGGAGATTAGACAGACCCCCACACTGTCCTTTTGTAGGGATTTGAAGACGCGGCTTTTCAAACAAGCTTTTGAGAATGCTTAGTCCCTGGTTTGTCTGTGCAGTAGTCAGTCACACATCCTTGCACTTTATCCTATGCCCTCTCTCCATTGTTGCAGCTTGCACTTATTCCATTCCTATTCTTTACAGCATGGCTATGTTTACAGCAGCTTACTGCCACTGATTGATTATTTAAGTTTTATTGAGACTGAGTTGATGCTTTTAATAATAATAATAATAACAGCAACAACCTTATTTTTATACCCCGCCTCTATCTCCCCTAAGGGACTTGGGGCGGATTACAAAGGGACAACCCCAGGGAGCAATTTCACAAATTGAAAAACGTAACACAGTAAGATAGCATCAAAACAAAACCAAATAAAAACACATCACAATAAAACATAACATCATAAAATCAGTACCATACAAAACAATAAAAGTGCTGAGTTCAGAGGGCTCTGGGTTTGTGCAAATTCCTAGATAGAGCTAAGGGAAAGTGCAAAATTTAGAAGGCAGACCTGGGAAGATAATGTTCATGGGCATTAAAATGTCAGAATTGTAGAGTGGAGGAACATTTCAAAATGAGGTGTGTTTATTTTATTGTATTTTATATTGTGCTTCATTTTTATGTTTGTTTTTAGGTACTTTGTGCCGCCTGTAAGCCGCCCAGAGTCCCTCTGGGGAGATGGTGGTGGGATATAAGAATAAAGTTGTTGTTGTTGTTGTTGTTGATGATGATGATGATGATGATTATTATTATTATTATTATTATTATTATTATTTAGCCTAAGTGCAGTGGGGCAACCCTCCAAGTTGGGCCAATAAGCCCCTTATCATTCCACAGTTGCTTACCATCACTATGACAGGGAATTGTAATGTTAATTTCATACTTCAGTTTTGGTCCTGCAATTGTCATAGAATCATAGAATCAAAGAGTTGGAAGAGACCTCATGGGCCATCCAGTCCAATCCCCTGCCAAGAAGCAGGAATATTGCATTCAAATCACCCCTGACAGATGGCCATCCAGCCTCTGTCGCAATCATTCATGCTACAGACTACTTATATGTGGAAGTTTTGACTTCCTAGTGCCCCATCTACATTTTTCCTCACTCCAATCTTTACTTGACTGTTTTCCTGGTGTTTACTTTCACTTTCTCCACCCCCTTTAACAGTTCCTTTCCTTGTAACTGCACGACTGTGCATTATTTGAACATGTTCGATTGAGTCTCTTGCTTTGTACATGCCTAATTCCTCCTGTAAAAATCTTGCAGCCTCCTAAGCCTACCTGATGCCTTGTTTCAATGTGGGAATCTTCCCAAGATGTTTTCTTCGGAACAGCCTGCGCTGAACTGAACTGTCTCCAAATCTAGCCATGTGATCTGTGCCGTTCAAAGATTAATTTTCCAGGCCAAGTGACAGATGAGTCTAATAGTGACAAATGGGAACAAAGTCCCTAGAACTGCAGTTGGATATAACAGAAGGCAGTCCTGTGCTGCCATTACAATTTTGAGAAGAAGGAATGGATGTCAACATAAAGAGATTAAAAGAGAGAGAGCACTATTCTGTGATTTGCCACCCTGTCAAATCATATAGGGAGAACTACCAAAACTGAAATCTTTTAAATAAAAAAATTGTACCTGAATTTGAGATGGAAAGCAATCTTAAATGTCAGGAAATTGTGGAGTCCAATCACACAAATGTTTGGAAGATCTATGTATCTGTCTACTTTTGCACCTGACTCTAATGGAGGACTTCATGGTTTGAGTATAGAACAAACTACTGTAGGTTGTGCAAGACTGAAGTCTGTCTGACTCCTGTAATGATGGATACCTGAATGACTTGATGTACAGGATTGCCATCCATGTTGGCAGAAGTCGCTGTTTTCTCATTCTCTACTATCTGATCTTCTGCCATTTTGAACAACCTAAGAACAAAACATAACACAAAAAACTCATTAAAAATGATCCCATGTCATTTTATTTATTCATTTCAGATACATTTCCAGAGTTTACAAAAATATATATACTTTTTTTTAATATCCTGCCCTTCTCAACCTGAAGGGGACTCAGGCTTACATAAGTGACATTATTCCATGCCCAAACAACAGCAACAACAATTAAAAGCTTGTTTGAAAAGCCATGTCTTCAAGTCTCAATGAAAGAAGGACAGTGTGGGGGCCTGCCTATTCTCCCTCATGTTCCAAAGCCGGGGAGCCACCACCGAGAAGGCCCTTTCCCTTGTTTCCACCAACCGCGCTTGTGATGGTGGTGGGACCGAGAGGAGGGCCCCCTTGGCAAATCTTAGAGCCCTTGCAGGTTCACAGGGGGGGGGGGGCATGTAGTCACAAAGATAGGTAGGACCTGACCCATTTAGGGCTTTACAGGTAATCACCTGCAGTTTGAATTAGGAGCACTCAAAAGTACTGTTCTTTTTTCCTTCACCAATATAAATTCATGTTAAAGAGCCAAGTACATGGAACGACTGACCTGATTCCAGAGTATACAAGAGCAGCTAGGTACAAAAATATGAGCCAGAGGCACTTTGGAGCATTCATTTGTATTAAATATGTTTACTTGACCGCTCATTGACTCAATTTGAATTGGTAAAAGAAAAAGAAAGTTCACTCCCCAAACCATGCAAAGCAAGATAAGCTTTGAAAAGCTGAATGAGCTGTATAAAGGTACAGAATGTATCTCTGTATTTGGCCAAAATGTTGCCAACGTTTTTAGTGTATTAAGCCAGAACAATACACAGCCGAAGGTGTGTCTTTGAACAGGCAAATAAATGGCTTTATTATCTTAAATCTGAACTTAACTTCGTTTCTCAATCTCTGCATTCTCACTGTGTTGCACTTCTTTTTTAGAGGCTTTTGATTGGCACCAACACTGGTATCATTCCAGTACAGGTTGCCAATTTGGTAATTGGGGCCACAGTAGAACAGCAGGTTAAACCACTAGCTGCAGGAAAGCTGTTGACCGAAAGGTTAGCAGTTTGAAGCTGTGGGTCGGGTGAACTCCCAACTGTCAGCCCTAGCTTTTGCCTACCTAGTAGTTTGAAAACAATGTGAGTAGATCAATAGGTATCACCTCGGCAGGAAGGTAAAAGGGTGCCCCATGCAGATATGGACAACAGGCTCCTCAGCATGGAAAAATGGAACAAGAGCACCTCCCCATGGCCGCAGTTGAGCATCGCCTCCAGATTCCAGAGATGGAAAAAAGGGGAAGGTCTTTACCTTTGTCTGTGTTGTATGTCGTTGTTCGCTGTTGTGTAAAAAGACATTAAATGTTTGCTTCATATGTGTATTGTAATCTGTTCTGAGTCCCTCTAGGGAGATAAAGTGGAATATAAATAAAGTGTATTATTATTGTTGTTGTTATTATTGTTGTTAAATCCAAAATGCAGTACTGCCAATTCGAAAATCCAAAATACAGGACTCCAAGGTCTCCAATTGTCTACTTGAGTTGCAGAAATAATGACTCTTTTGCTTTCTGATGGGACGATGTACACAAACTTTGCTTCACGCATAAAATTATTAAAAATATTAGATAAAATTACCTCTGGACGATGTTCATAAGTCTATGTTCATATTTATGAGACATAAATAAATTTCATGTTTCATGAAACCCCCTCTCCAAAATTTCTCGATATATAGGTATATACTAATAAAGGTATTTCAAAATCCAAATTAATCCAAAATTCTAAGCATTTCTGGTCTCAAGCATTTTGAAGAAGGGATGCTCAACATTCTACAGAAAAGCATTAAGCAAAAACAATTGTTGTTTTAAAAAACTAAGACATTGGGATCTAATTGATTTTATCAATAATCTGTACATATGGATTATTTTCAGTTGTCTTAAACCGTTTTAATGCTTTTTAGACTATCTTGTCTAATACAATTTTAGTCTGTTTAAATCATTTTTACAGCTTTGTCATATTAAATAGGTTAAATGGATTTGATTGTATGCTGCCTTGAAATCCCATGATGTAGTATAAAATATAAATATTGAGATAAATACACAATTATTTGTCAGGTCAGCATGCTAAACTGGTCAGCATGCTAAACTGGTCGCTGCTTAACCACTAAGTTGAAGCAGTAGCCTTTCAAAAATGAGAAGAAATTGCTTGTATTTGCGTACTGAAATTATTGTGTGTGCTCTCTCTCTCTTACTGAAGAACAAGGTGGTTTTGTTTTGTAGTGCTGATAACGAAGTTTGCTTTATGGTAGGCAAGCAAATGAAGCAAAATATAACATTCCAAAGAAAAGGAAGTATTACAAGTCCACCAACTGCATATTTGTGATATTGTATGCAGGCCAAGGAGATGTGTTACAAGTCTCATAATCTCCAAATCCAGTGCTATTTGAAGTAGTGGTCTGCATACTTATGCAGAAACATTGTTCTAGTCAGCATGGCTTTCTCTCTATTCATTGCAACTGCAAAAATGGACAGAGAGTTCAGCCACTGCTAGAACGGACAGAGAATTTAATCTATACTGACGACTGTGCCATCACCACTTAAACAGGGAGCATTGAAATGATGGAACAGAAGCTCTGCGAAGCTTTATATGCTCTTACTGCCTATTACAGAGAAAAAAACCCAGTTGATTCCTAATCCATCTAAAATGCAGAAATGTGCTTTTCATCTTAAGAACAGACAAACATCTCGAGCTCTGAGGACTACCTGGGAAGGAATCCTACTGGAGCATTGCAGCACACCAAAAACCTGGTGTGCTCTGACTTATAAGAAGCACTGCTTGAATATCAAGCAAAAAGTAGGTGTCTCTCTATACTGCAATATAGATTGTACATTCATAACTAGTTAATATTTGATTTATGGGATTTTGAATATGACTGTTACATTCCAGTGATAGATTATATAAAATAAGCATATAGCCCAAGTCAGAAATTATTTAGCCACAAACTCCTTTGCATTGCCTCTACTGACCTACAAGAAGCACTGCCTGAATATCAAGCAAAAGTGGGTGCTAGAAACAATATCTTACGAAAGGTGACTGGCACAACCTGGGGATCACAACCAGATACAGTAAAGACATCTGCCCTTGCGCTTTGCTACTCTGCTGCTGAGTACGCATGCCCAGTGTGGAACACATCTCACCACGCTAAAACAGTGGATGTGTCTCTTAATGAGACATGCTGCATTATCACAAGATGTCTATGCTCAACATGACTGAAGAAATTATACTGTTTAGCCGGTATTGCACCACCTGACATCCGCCAGGAAGTAGCAGCCTGTAATGAAAGGCCCAAGGCATTGACATCTCCGGTCCATCCTCTGTTCAGACATCAGCTAGCAAGCCAATGTGTTAACTCGAGAAATAGATTCCTAAGATCTACAGAGATACTCACAGGAACACTTCAGCAAGTGAGAGTTCAAAAGTGGCAGGCTAAAACCCGGAACTTCAATCAGTGGTTGATACCAGATGAGAAACTCCCTCCTGGACACACCAAAGACTGGGAGACTTGGAAGGCACTGAACAGACTACGCTGTGGTACCACGAGATATAGAGCCAATCTTAAGAAATGGGGCTCCAAAATGGAGTCCACGACATGTGAGTGCGGAGAAAAGCAAACCACAGATCACCTACTACTACCATGCAGCCTGAGCCCAGCCACATGCACAGCAGAGGACCTTCTTACAGCGGCATCAGAGGCACTTGAAGTAGCCAGCTTCTGGTTAAAAGACATTTAGTATAATGCCAAGTTTTTAACTTTGTTTGTGGTTTTTCTATACATTATAACTGTATTCTCGATTTGATTCTGACACAATAAATACATTACAAATGTGTGACGCACCCAAATAAATCTACAAAAGGTGCATCCAGACTGTAGAATAAATGCAGCTCAACACTACTTTAACTGCTATAGGATGCTGGGAGTTGAAGTTTTGTGAAGTTTTGTTATTAGCCTTCTCTGCCAAAGAGTGCTGGTGCCTCTCCAAACTACAACTCCTGGGATTATATTGCATTGAGCCATGGCTGCTAAAGTGATGCCAAACTGAATTCATTCTAAATTTTAGATGCACTCTCAGACAAAGAATCCTCAGAAGTAGCATTGCCTATGGCTGGGGTCCTCAAACTAAGGTCCGAGGGCCAGATACGGCCCTCCAAGGTGATTTACCCGGCCCTCGCTCAGGGTCAACCTAAATCTGAAATGACTTGGAGGTACACAAGAACAACAGCAACAATCTTATCTCATCAGCCAAGAGCAGGCCCACACTTCCCATTGAACTACTAGTAAGTTTATATTTGTTAAAATTGTTTTTCATTTTAATTATTGCATTGTTTTTAGGTAGGTAGTCCCCTGACATTAAGTCCAGTCATGTCTGACTCTGGGGTGTGGTGCTCATCTCCATTTCTAAGCCGAAGAGCCAGCGTTGTCCGTAGACACCTCCAAGGTCATGTGGCCGGCATGACCGCATGGAGCGCCGTTACCTTCCCACCGGAAGGTCTACTACTATTGATCTACTCACATTTGCATGTTTTCGAACTGCTAGGTTGGCAGAAGCTAGGGCTGACAGCGGAAGCTCACGCTGCTCCCTGGAATCGAACCTGCGACCTTTCAATCAACAAGCTCAGCAGCTCAGTGCTTTAACCCACTGCGCCACCGGTGTGGGGTTTTTTGGCACTACAAATAAGATATGTGCAGTGTGAACAGGAATTCATTCATTTTTTTTTCAAATTATAATCCAGCCCTCCAACAGTTTGAGGGACTGTGACCTGGCCCTCTGTTTAAAAAGTTTGAGGACCCCTGGCCTATGGGATACAACCTGCACCACCAGGGATTCGTTAGCGGTCTCCCATCCAAGGACCATCCGGGGCGACCCTGCTTAGCTTCCAAGATCAGACAAAATCGGATCCCTTTATGGCACTTATTTACTATGGCTGCATCCATACTTAGAATTAATGCAGTTTGACATTACTGTTAACGCTATGGAATCCAGGGATCTGTAGTTTGGGAAGAGTTGTACATTTTTCGGGCTGTATGGCCCTGTTCTAGAAGCATTGTCTCCTGACGTTTCGCCTGTATCTGTGGCAAGCATCCTCAGAGGTTGTGAGGTTTGGGAAGGTCTTGTAAAACTACAACTCCCATGATCCCACAGCATTGAGCCTCCAAATGATGTCGAGATACACACAAAGGGAAAATGTTACCCAAAAAAGCCTACCTGGCGAGAGGAGCGACTCAGTACAGCTGAGGCGGAGGGTCCTTCCTCTAAGAGGGGGTTGAGAGGTTGCTGCTGCAGGCAGGTCAATCTCCAAGGCCTTTCCCTCCCAAGCCATTCAGTCCGTGGAAGCCAAGCCACGGGCTGCTTTCTCCCTCTTCCTCGCCAAACAACGACCCGAAATCGGGATAAATAAAGGGCCCTGCTGCTGTAGGAAAAAGCCAGGCAGCGGGGAAAATCTGAGCTCTCAAAGGGCAAGAGGCAGCGGTGGGGGAAATTTCCCCTCCCTAGGAAAATACTTGTAGCATTAGGGCGGGTGTGTCTATTTTTGCCCAATAATGCAACCCCGGCAGTGGCACAACCCTAGTGGATTGTACCACCTAAAAGGGAGGGAGAGGGGTTTTTCCCGTGGGCTCCTTTTCTAAGGGTGCAGCTACCTTGGAGGACTAATGCAGTTTGACACCGCTTTAGCTGCCCCTGGTTTCATAGAATCATAGAATCAAAGAGTTGGAAGAGACCTCATGGGCCATCCAGTCCAACCCCCTGCCAAGAAGCAGGAATATTGCATTCAAATCACCCCTGACAGATGGCCATCCAGCCTCTGTTTAAAAGCTTCCAAAGAAGGAGCCTCCACCACGCTCCGGGGCAGAGAGTTCCACTGCTGAACGGCTCTCACAGTCAGGAAGTTCTTAGTGCTGTGGAGACTGGGAGTTGTGATTTGGTGAGGCACCATAGCATTAGGTGCATCTCTGCAATGCAAGCAATACAGTTTAATAGTGTAATGCTACCTAGGCAGCCACTTCTCCACAATAACTTCACATCGATGCTGAAATAATAATAATAATAATAATAATAATAATAATGACCTCACAACCTCTGAGGATGCTTGCTATAGATGCAGGCGAAACGTCAGGAGAGAATGCCTCTAGAACATGGCCATATAGCCGAGAAACCTACAACAACCCAATAATAATCTATCTGTGTAAACAAAAATGTAATGTTCGTTTGTGGGATTAACATAACTCAAAAATCACTGGACATATTGACAACAAATTGGGACACAATACTCCTATCAGGGATTAACATAACTCAAAAACCGCTGGACATATTGACCACAAATTGGGACACAATACTCCTACCAGACCAACAAATGACCATCACTCATAAAAACACTGAAAAACACAACAGAAGGGACTTAAAAAGCAAAAAAAAAAATACATTACAATACATGCGCAAAACCACATATATACACATACAAATATATACACACATATATACACAAAACACAAATACACAGACTGGGCAACAGCAACGCATGGCAGGGGATGGCTAATCTATATAAATAAATATGTAATGTTTGTTTGTGGGATTAACATAACTGGGCAAATTGACACCAAATTTGGACACAAGACACCTATCAGGCCAACAAGTCACCATCACTTATAAAAACACTGAAAAACACAGCGGAATTGACTTAAAAAGCCAAAAAACCCCAAAATTACATTACAACACATGCACAAAACCACACACATATACGCAAACATACATATATACACATATACACAAATTTAAACCCACATATACATTTATATATATACACACAAAACACAGGATTCCATAGAATTGAGACATACCAGTTAATAGTGTTTTCAAACTGTGTTAATTCTTTAGGGTAGATATTCCCATTGAGCTGTAGCCAGGCCCGTAACCAGGATTTTGATTCGGGGGGGTGGGGGGGGGTGGGCTGACTCTGAGTGAAAGAGGGTCTACCCTAGCAAACTTTTTGTATCGTTACTCCAATACCCCCATGCATATGGGATATATTGAGCATGGTGATTGGATCATGATATGAATAAACATAACAGTTTAAATAATGCAGCAGTAAGGCCTTCTCGCAGACCACCATGAGAATTTGGGGCGGGGGGGGGGGGGCACATGCCTGGCTGTAGCAGTTAAAGTGGTGTCAAACTGGATTAAATCTACAGTGTACATTTATATAATTTATTATTTATGATATTTTTATCTTGCCTTTCTCAAGCTGAAGGCAACTCAAGGCGGGCTTACAAATTGGCAGTAATTCGATGCCATAATAGTAATAAAATACAATTAAAAACATTTAGAACATTATAAAAATCTGTACAAAACCATTAAAAATATATAATCACCAATGTCTTCTTGTTAATTTCATTTTCCAGTTGCATCGTCTAAGCCGTTCCATGTTTCACTCTTCATAGTTCCATGTTACACTGCATTTCCAAAGGCTTGTTCAAAAAGCCGGGTTTTTTTTCTATCCAAACCACAGGTTTGCCCAACTTCAAATATATATATATGTATGCTGGCTTTATAAGAATTTGACATTCTAAAGTTTAAAAAATGATCTCCATCATGTGCCCCCCCCCCCCCAGCGCAACCTAGCTTTGACTTTTATATTTTTGTAATATATGACTATGGTAAGTAAAATTTCTTCTGAGAGTATAAAGTAAACAGTAGGAAAAGGGGGCAAAAGCTTCTGCAGTGATTCCCAAACTCCAGTCCCTCCAAGTATTTTGGATTTCAAATCCTAGAAAAGCCTCAGCTACATTTGCAAAGATCAAGCATTCTGGGAGCTGAAGTTTAAAATACCCGGAAGACCAGACTTTCAAAATTCAAGGTCATGTACCATTAATGGCTTCTCCATTCATAACACCACTTACTGTAATAAGAATCCTATACAACAAAATGAATAGGAGAAAGATTTTATTCCATCACCACTTTTTGTTCTTCAAAAACAAGATATTTTGCATTAATTGCTTAGAAAATACAGTGTTTCTGAAACAAGAACAGGCTTGAATGAAGACACAGAAATCGGATGCAACAAATGTGCAGTGAATCTACAAAGTTAGAAAGGTTTCCAGGCAGAGATGGAGTAGTATATATCAGATAGTTGACAGAAGGCCCTGGGATCTATGATTTTTTTAAGGGCGACACGGTGCAGATTCTCCACATTCAAACAGCTTCCTTCTGACTTCTCGGATCCAGAGAACTTCATTTCCATTTGCAAATGGCGTCTCCAGGCACCAAGTTACAAGCACCAGCCACCATCAATAACACATTCACTGCCAGTCATGTATACCGACTGAAATACAGAAAACGCAAACAAAATTAGAATGGCAATCATGGCCTAAGGACAAAAAACCCCAGAGAAGTAGAATAAAAAAATAGTATTAAGCTATATGAAAAGTTTCTGAAGTTATTTTGATATCACATGTTCTAGTGTGCCTTCCCAGAATAAGGAAAACTCTTAGCAGTATGTTCTCAAATGCACTTTAATATTGATTTAGGATTGTCTGCGTACCCTCATCTTTCTCTGAAAACCCTATCGTAGTTTACCCTACCTTGTTCATGGCCAGCATTTTAAATTTTAAATTTTAATTATTACATTTGGCGCGGCCATAGGTTTTAAATGCTGTATGTTATTGATATTGTTATTGTTTATTGCTTATTGTGTATTTTCTGTTTTTGAGTTTATTTTAACTGTTTTGTATTGACTATTTGTTATCGCCTTTGTTTATTGATGTGCTGTGGGCTTGGCCTCATGTAAGCTGCACCGAGTCCCTTGGGGAGATGGTAGCAGGGTACAAATAAAGTTTTATATATTATTATTATTAAATTCTCAATGACAAATATTTGAAGAGGGTTAAGTTACTGGATAAAACAGTTTGAGACCCCAACACCTAAGAGACCTTCTTCTTCAATATGTGCTGGAACACATAAGAACCAAAGTTTAAATGCAAACAATAGAGGTGTGCAATTTGGCCAAAAGACATCCCATTTCGGGGCCCTTTGTCAGCTGACCTCTCATTCTGTTTACCAGAAAGTTACATGTGCCTTCCCAGAATAAGGAAAGTTACATGTGCCTTCCCAGAATAAGGAAAACTCTTACATGAAAGAAGAGAGGTGTTGCCATTTTCATTAGGCATAGATTTGACTCATTGGCCACAATGGGAAATTTTAAATGCTCAGTCCTCAGTCATTTCAAGGCCCATCTACATGAAAGCTACCTCAGTTTTAGACCCCATTTACAACTGCCAAATTTCAAAATAATTCACCAATCTACTGATTTTTCTGAATTATTTTAAGTTTTAACCATAACTTCTTAAAAAATAAGACAAATTGCAAGAGAGGATTCTGGGAATTGTAGTCGCTGGTTGTATCCATTTTCAACCAGTCAGAGCATGGAGACAACCAGGCTTTTATTGGTTGAGAAACAAAGAGAGATAAAAACTTCAACTCCCATCACACTCTGAGAGAAACTTTTTAGTGCCCACCATACGCAAGTGCTGCTGGGAAACCGAGTTCCCATCAGGGTTCTCTGGAGGAGGAGCCTAGGAAACTTTCCATAAAGAAATGGAGGATGCTGCTTCCTCTGGGGATCCCAGCAATAATCCCATCTTCTCCAGGAGCCTGTGGCAAACCCCTGCCTCAGGTGTATTGCAGACTTAACTCTCTCCTCTCCAGTAGCTGATAAAATCTAGCTCCCTTAATCCATTTTGCTTGGCTTTTCGACTCCCTCCTCCCCAGTCTGTTTTCGGAGATTATATAAAATGGCCCACCGATACTAAAAATCTTTTTTGTTCAAACTAGTTTAGGCCCAAGCCTAGCAAACAAGCAAACAACTGACGGCTGTGGAACAATAATTACATAAGTTCTTGTGGGTCTTTTCGGGCTATATGGCCATGTTCTAGAGGCATTTCTCCTGATGTTTCGCCTGCATCTATGGCCATGATGGCGAACCTATGACACGCGTGTCAGCACTGACATGCATGGCTATTTTTGATGACACGCAGCCACATGCGGCCGCATACAGTGAAGTACACCTTATAAGAGCCAATCTAATTCCATCCTTAAATTTGTAAAAGGCTCTACAAATTTAACACCTGCACGTTTGAGCATTGTTCACTCCATAACTCAGCATGGAATATACATTTTTTTCTTATTTAAACTATAAATATTTCAAAATTATGGGGTTTTTTCTCAAAGTTGCCACCCCACCCAAGTTATGCTCAGGTTTTTGGCAAATTTTGACACACCAAGCTCAAAAGGTTGCCCATCACTGATCTATGGCAATGTTTTAACTAAGGTAACAATTTATAAACGCCATGTGATATTATGTTTCCTACGGGCTACAATGACACATATATCACATGCTGTTTTATTTATGATGCAGGTTTGCAAGGGGAAGTAGAGGCTGGATCAAATTATATGCACAATTTCCCAAATAGTTCACATGATTTTCCCATTACAGTGATCTGAAGCTAGAAGTCTTCCTTAAGCCTATCAGGTGCACCCTGCTCTCGGTATTTGCTGGGTTTAAGGACACAAGACCTCAATGAAAGGGAGTGGGTGGGAGAAAAACACAGATTTAAAATTATTTTATTTTTTACTTCATAGAAAACTTCTTTAGGAATCTTTTAAGTCCTTCAGCATGACACTATGGTCAACCTCTGCCAGAAATTGGACTGGAAGACCTAGAAATTCCTAGAGAAAACATTTTAAAATCAAATCCACATATGATGAAATCCACAAATGTCAAACTCAGAAATGTGGAAGGCTGACTGTATTCTTCAAATTCTGAAGACAGAGCAATTTTATGTCATTTTCAAGTTTTCCGAGATAGCTTTTACCAATGTGGCAATTTCCTGCAAAGCAAACCTAGGGATTGTGGTACTCCTAATGCTTTGGACTTCCACCTTGGGAAGGCGAAGCCAATCTGATCAATGGTAAGGTATGATGGGAGTTGTGGTCAAAAATATTTGAACTGCCAAAGGTTCCTCACAGCTAAAAGGACATTCCTTTCCAGTAGAAATAGCATATGTGAAGGCGTTAACTCCATGCCACCTTGAGAATGAAGAAGGATCTGCCATGTAAATCTAATCAAGGACATTTGTATAAATCTTAATCTACTAAATCTCCATTATTCAATAGGTCTACTCTAGTTGGAGTCAAGAATTGGTCTCGGGCCACTTCAAAGCTGCTGCAAATATTGGGACTTGTGCACAGCTTGGAAAAAGTTACCTTTTCAGATTTTTTTTTTATGTCGGGAGTGATTTGAGAAACTGCAAGGGACTTCTGGTGTGAGAGAACTGGCCGTCTGTAAGGATGTTGCCCAGGGGACACCCAGATGTTTTACCACCTTGTGGGAGGCTTCTCTCATGTTCCTGAATGGGAAGCTGGAGCTGACAGACAAGAGCTCACCCTGCTCTACGGATTTGAGCCATTGATCTTTCAGTTAGCAGTCCTGCTAGCACAAAGGTTTAACCCATTGCGCCACTGGGGACTTCGGCTTTTCTGATGACAAGTGCCTGAATTCAAACAATATCAAACAGATTGCTTTGTGGATGACCCAAGGATTGCTTACTTCATCAGATGCTAGATATACAAAGAGGTGGGCTATTTCTTCTGCTGTAGCCAGTCTACCCGTCTTTTGCCTGGCCAGGAAGTCTTTAAGTGCCTGGGGAAGGAAAGCATTCTCTGTAACAGCAAGTCTAAATGAACAGTTTGTTTCTACACCACTATAGACCCCACATACAAGGCATTCACCATTTCCATGCCAGTAAGGACCCTTTCGTACTATGAAACTGTGAGTGATCCATGGATAAGCTGACCCAGGTTTTTTACACTGATCTTTTGACTAAAGTTTCTAGACTTATATATGAGTATATAAGAATATAATATGAATGGTGGAGGCTCCTTCTTTGGAGAATTTTAAACAGAGGCTGGATGACCATCTGTCGGGGGTGCTTTGAATGCGATTTTTCTGCTTCTTGGCAGGGGGTTGGACTGGATGGCCCATGAGGTCTCTTCAATCTATGACTCTATATACTTGGCAGGGGCAAACTTCAGCCCTCCAGGTGGTAGTTGAAGTCCAAAACACTTGGGAGGACTGAAGTTTGCCCATGCCTGGTATATAGGGTAGATTCAGTGGACAAAATGATGATCTGCAGAGTATGTCTTCCAGTCCACACAACTATACTTTTCCATGAAGAAATGGCAACATTTTCAAATAGCCTTTAGAGATTTAAGGATTTATGTTTCCTCAATATGTGCTTATCTGCAGTAATAAAATAGCTTGACCACCTGTTCCGGATCAGGGCTGTTTTGGATTCTTTGCCGCAGTGAAGGAGTGTCAACGGTGCCTGAGAAGATAAGACAGGCTTGATTAGATAAAGTTCCTTTTGCTCTCAACAAATACTAATGGATCCTCTAACACAATGGTTCCCAACCTTTTTTTGACCAGGGACCACTTTGACCAGGGACCACTCTCCAACATTAGTTCTAAAAGGGTTACGAATCAGTTTATGGTCAACTTTAGGTTTGCTTTGGTTATTTGGGGTGCTGATTCAGAAAATAGCATTGGACAGACCACGTCAGTTTCTGATACAGAACATATGCCATCTAGTAGTCACTATCTGCTCGCCCACAGAAAACCATATTTAATAAGCCTCGGCACTATAAGATGGTTTCGTGAGACCAGTTGCTCTCATTGCAATAGTGTAGTAATAGTGAGACCGCGGACCATATTTTAGTTCTTGCAGACCACTGGTGGTCCACGGACCACAAGTTGGGAACCACTGCTCTAATGGAAGTCTACTTTGAAAAATAAATAAATTCAGCCTTCTGCATTCACTGGGATTAGGGATGCAGGGCTCCAGTGAAAGTGGAAAAACCATGAGCATCTACATTGTAAAATCAGTAGTTTGACACCACTTTAACTGTTATATCTCAATGCAATGGAATCATAGTAGTTATAATATTTAGCCTTCTCTATCAAAGACTGCTGGTGCCTCACCAAACTACAAATCCCAGGACTCCACAGCATTGAGCCATGGTTGTTAAACTGGTGTCAAACATTAATTCTTCCATGTAGATGCACCGTAAGAACTAAAAGAACAGCCATATACAAAGAATATATATAGGTTCAATGGAAGTGAATTCTGTGTACATTCTGAAGGCAATACTGAAGTAAAAATGTGTTTATTTTGTGGTGGGGTTGTTACAGGCACTGGTTGGAAAGAAGATCCCAAAAGTGGGATTATCACAAAGTTGAAGAACCAAAGAACCATCAGCTGAATTATACCAAACCAATGTTTTCCTTCAATCTGCCTGGGGCTGGCACCATATTTATGCTTTGTTTTCTAAAATAATCGCTAGGAACTGACAGCCAATAGCCAGTGGCGGCCCTAGGTAATTTTCAATGGTAAGCAAACAGTATTTTGCCCCCCCCCCCAACCAATAATTGATATATATTTTCTGTTCGTCGTGAGAGTTCTGTGTGCCATATTTGGTTCAATTCCATCATTGGTGGAGTTCAGAATGCTCTTTGATTTTAGGTGAACTATACATCCCAGTAACTACAACTCGCGTATATCAAAGTCTATTTTCCCCCAACAGTGCCTCAAGAGCGCCCCTGGGCAAAATCAACTGTACTGCGAATGCTTACTTTACGTAATGGGTTGAGCCGCACCTGCCAATAGCTTATAGACTGGCACTTGTCCACAAACCACCGCTTACAGTACTGTTTTGGGGTCTTAGCTTTCTAGAAGGTTTCCCTTGTGACTGTATAAAGGCCGTAAAAATACAGTAGTATTTGCTTGATTTTGGGAAAGAGGTAAAATTTAGGCAAACATGGCTCATCTTTATGATTCAACACCACACTCTAATCCACATTAGATAGGCAAAATTTCCTTTTCCATAAAGGAATTAAAATGTGTGGAAATTTATAATGTGCAATCTACTTTGACTGCTACATTTCCCTTGAGTTGCTACCCAAGCAAGTTTTTTTAAAAAAGCATTAATTATTTAAATCTTTATTTCAGACACTGAAAGAAGAGAAAGTTCTTCCCTGACCTTCAAAGTATAGCCATGAATTTGGACTCCTCTCTTATCCTGAAAAACAGATAAAGCACAGACTGTGTTCCTCTGTGTTGCGTGTTTACTTTCGGAAACTTTCTTAAGGAAGGAATATTCAGAGGTAGTTTCGCCAGTTTTTTCCTGAAATATGTCAGCGGTATCCCTCTCTAATGCCAACCAGAAGCGATCCTGCTTAGCTTCCAAGATCCAGATGTTGTCTTTAAAGTAAGACTGCTATGTAGAATGTTATTTACCAGGACAAACACAGTTGCATCTAATTCCTTTTCCAATGAAGTCAGCAGCTATTGACTTGGTGAGACCAATAACTGCTGCCTTGGAGGTGCTGTAGACACATCTGTTGGGAACCCCTGAAAAAGAGATGGAAGTTAATAGGGAAACTACATTGTGCTAAATTAAGAAACAGGTTAACATGCATCTGAATTTAAGAGCTGTCCTTCTCTGAATTGCCTTGAGCTGCTTCAATTACACTATGTAACACAGTTTTTGTTCCTGGATTATACATGCCATTTCTGAATTGGTCCTATCATAAGAGCATGGAAAAAGTTTATTAAACTGCAAAAACTTGGTTTTTGGAGGACATTTTACAGCACATTTTGCTATAGTTTTCCAATAAATATCTAATTGAGTCTCAACCAATTCATCATAGTTTGTCACAGCCACAAAAATGGAGTTTCTGGAGTATAACAGCTACTTTCAAAGTAATTTTTGCACAATTAAACAGGAAATAACACTTTCAAACCAGGAACAGAACATTTTTCAAAAATTGCAGATAAAGGAATTGCTCTATTTTTTTCTCACCCGAGAACACCTCTCTAAGAATTTCTATAACTTTCAGTGTGACTATGATTTATATCCACTGGAAGCTCACCGTATAATTGCATTGGAAGACCTAGTTTCCTAAAGAGTGCTTATCTCTAGAAATTTCTAGGTACCCCAGAATGAGTAAATGAAGTTGTTTACAGAATCACATTGGAAGACCTAGAGATTCCTAGAGAGTACATTTGAAATCAAATCCATAAAAATCAAAACCATATATGTGGAGGGATGACTGTAGATATTTACCCTAATTGATCCAAGAGCACAGCCTTGGTTCTAAGAAGTTTTTCTGTCTGTCAACATTTAATTGAACAAGAAGGCCAAGTTCCCATAAAAGTGTGCAAAGTTTTCCTTCCTGCTAGAAATAGCAGATATTGTCATGAATGTCTATGCATTTTTCCTCTAGGTACACTAAGCCAGAAGTTGATGTAAACTATAGTTGGATTCGGCATAAACTTCAGTATTCACACATAACAGGAAATACATATTTTCCCCACTTAGATGAATATAGGCATTCGCATAAAACGTGCTTTAAAATTGGAACTGGATTATAATTATGGCATCTCAGGTCAACATCCTAGAATAATCAGAAGAACATGATCCATCAGAAGATATTACATTGTGTACATAAGGTAAAAAATAACAACATATGTCATGTTTGAACAACTCACCTTTAATGCTGGATGCCACAGAAGACATGTTGATAATGTTGCCAGATTTTTGTTCAAGCATCTACAAAATAATTCCAAATATGATCTGTTGTAATGCCACCAGTGTTAATTGTGGGAATGGAAAAGCCTGACAACCTATGCAAATACTGAGTATACCTTCTGTCTGCTTTCATCGCCTTTCTCTTAATCAATTGCTTTCATCGCCTTTCTCTTAAGCATGGCAGATCACAGCAATGGCACCATCACTCTGGAATACTCTGCCACCTGAAGTCCGTGCCTTGCGGGACTTATCAGCTTTCCACAGGGCATGTAAGACTTACCTGTTTCAACAGGCCTTTGATCTCTAATATTGCTGTTTTTAAATTGTTTTAAATTGTTTTAAAATTGTGTTAGATTTTAGCCTGTTCTTGTAAGCCGCTCCGAGCCCCAGGGGAGTGGTGGCATATAAGTTTGAATAATAAATAAATAAATAAATAATTAAAGCAGTGGTTCCCAACCTTGTTTTGACCAGGAACCACTGGACCAGAGACCACTTTCACCAGGGACCACTCTCCAAAATTAGTACTAAAAGGGCTACAAATCAGTTTTTGGTCAACTTTAGATTTGGTTTGGTTATTTGGGGTGCTGATTCAGAAAACTGCATTAGACAGACCACATCAGCTCTAGTTTCTGATACAGAACATATGCCATCCAGTAGTCACCATCTGCTCGCCCAGAGAAAACCATATTTAATAATCTAGAGCTAATGTGTTAGTAGTAATCTTTCGTAGGTAGTCAGTCTCTCCCTTTCCGACATCCCCGTTGCCTTGGCACAATAAGAGGGTTTTGCTAGACCAGTCGTTCTCATTGCCAAGTAGTTTTGAAGCAACCGTGTAGTAATAGTGATGCCGCAGACCATATTTTTGTTCTTGCAGATCTCTGGTAGTCCACGGACCACAGGTTGGAAACCACTGAATTAAAGGAAGCCACTGAGTTATACCTCTAGATTGGAGCTTTTAAAACTTTTCCACTGAAGATCTCTTTGGGCCCTAGAAATGTTTACATGACCCCAAGTATACAGATAGGCAAAAAAATCAAATAAAAATCAAACATTGACTGATAACAAATTTCCCTTTGCAAGCCTTGCCAAACAGGCTGACTTTCTATTTATGAAGCACAGCTGCAGCATCTCCTGCAAAGTCCACTGTGAACACTGCATCAAAAATTTGTGTAAATTTCTAATACAGTCACTAGCTGATGTTCAGAAAACCTTTATTGTTGCCAATTTTTTGGGGAACCCAACATTGAGCTAAGGGGATCCCTTCTGGGATTGGGACCTGGTCTAGATATTGAAGAAGAACAAAGGCTGGCCTGACCTTAGGCAGGAATGCTTTAATCATCAGATACATGCTGCGCACATTGATATTCATTGTGAAATCCCAATCCTTTTCATCACAATCTAAAATGGTCCCATGGTGTACAAATCTGAAACAGAAGAAGATAAAAGTGAGAAAAAAATCTTCAAGGGTAGCAACTACTAGAGCCATAGGATCACGCTATTAACCCAGCGTGAGACCATAAAGAAATGATCAAAGCAGGATCTAGTGATCTCTGAAAATAGTAAAATAGTTGCAGTCGCATTTTGACTGCTGAAGTTGCATATTGAGATTATTCATTATTTCTATAGACATAAAGCAAAGCCAGACAGACTTGAAAAGGCACATCGCAAGGGGAATATAATAACAATATTTTACCCTGCAATATTACACAGAACATCAATTCTTTTCATTTCCTTGGCTAAATTTTCAATTTGTCCTTTGTTGGTGACATCCAGCATTCGAATCCGAATGCCTGTGAAGGAAATTAACATAACATATGTTACAATACTCATCATTATGTTCTCACAACAATAAATGATGTCAGTTGTGATGGGTGAAATATATATCTACACATATGCATATACATATAGTTGGAACATAATTTAATAAGGTTTCCCTATGAGAAGGGCCTTTATGAGTGGTGTTTTTTACTTGGAACTGGACAAAGGGGCTCTGAATCCTGCCCCAGATACAAGCAAGTTCAGTTCCAACAACTTGTAATTCTTTTTACATTTTTGTATGCATTCCTCTAGACCCAGAGTTAAATCATTTATAATTCAACCATTCATGAATATAGCTGTGCCACTGTGATTGGTCCATTTCCCATTGTCTTCAATCTCCTTCAAATCTGGTGCTTCTTGGGCACAGGTTTTCATTCCATCTTTTGCTTCAAACCTTTGATTCATCTGACAGGCATCTACTGATTGGAAAGGGGGTTTGTTTCAAGTTAGGGAAAGGAGGGGAAGTTTGGAGACGTTTAATTTCTTGGTTTTATTATATATGCTTATTTAATTGTTTGCATCTATATGTGGCATCAAATTGCTGCCTTTTGTAAGCCTGTGGGGTGAGAAGGGCAGGGTATAAATATGGTACGTAAATTAAATAAATAAATAAATATTATAAGATGAATTTTACAGGGAGACAAGCTTTGATTACTGAAAGCAAATTTCCCCAAATTCAAGGGTGCTTACTCTCAATGAAACAAAGCAAACATCCCTGAGTTCAAGGGTGCTTACTCTCAAATGAAACAAATACAGGTATTTTTGGTGAGTAAACTGTGATGTTCCATAAAAGGTTGGCACTTTGAGGTAGCTGCCAAGGCTGTGGTATCAAAGGTAGGTCCACTGTTTGTAGGGGTAGACTGGACAAGCAAGTGGAGGTATGGGGAAGGGCCCATAAGCACAGAATCCCCTCTCCAAATTATTCAAGGGATACCTGGATGGCCGTCTAGCTCACGAAGTTTGGATTCATTAACGTCTGTAGCAATGACCTCAGCTCCTTCTTTTGCAAAAGCCTTAAAAGCAAAACAAACCATAGTTAATAACTAGACATTAAATCACAGAGTAGCAATGGTTTCTTACAACACATTGACTAACTTGATATTTTTGGTTTTGGTTATAGCATAAACATCATGCCTGCAAAATTGATAGAACCTGAATACTCCTGCAATGACACAAAAGCTTTGTTGCATTTAGTTCTCAGAATGGGTTACAGATGATCCAAAAAACCTGCTTGTGAAATGTGTATCAAAATGTGACATTGGCATCTTTGCAGCCAGCTGAAATTTCCTATACTGAAGATTTTTGTTTCCAAACAGGTATCTTTAGGAGAGCTCTAAAAGTTTTTGTAAACTTTGTTTTAAACCAAATGGCTTTATAAAGTACTTTAAAGCATCAAAACATGTTTGGGTTTCTAATACAGTACATAAAATGTTTCAGTATTACACTACAATCTCACTTATCCAACATAAATGGGCTGACAGAATGTTGGATAAGCGAAAAAGTTGGACAATAAGGAAGGATTAAGGAAAAGCCTATTAAACTTCAAATCATGTTATGATTATGTTATGATTTTACAAATTAAGCACCAAAACATCATGTTTTACAACAAATCAACCGAAAAAGCACTTCAATACATGGTAACGTTATGTAGTAATTACTGTATTTACTAATTTAGCACCAAAACATCGCAATGTATTGAAACAGCTGTTGATCCAGGTGGGAGGCAGACTGTGTTGAATACTAAAGAATGTTGGATGAGTGAAGGTTGGATAAGTGAGACTCTAATATAAAAATGGCATTCAAATGGCCAATAGTCAGTGCTTCTGGGAGTTGGAATCCCAAAGTAGACCAAAGATTGGAGACCCCTGGTTTAAACCAGGAAACTCTCATTAGAAAAAAAAAAAAACCCTTTCTTTCCAACCCTGCCACAAATTATGTAGTTTTTCATGCTTACACATTCAGAGTTGTAGTCAGATTGCTAACTGGAGCACCGTATCGTGAGAGAACAATTCCTATGCTGCAGAAGCTCCACTGGTTGCTGGTATGCTTCCAGGCTAAAAACAAAGTGCTGGCCGTTGCCTATAAAGCCTTCAACAGTTCGGGTCCAGGGTATTTGTCTAATTGCATCTCCCCATACATACCATCCCAGGCACTGTGGTCAATGGAGGAGGTCCTCCTCTCGGTCCCACCCCTGTCATAAGCTCGGTTGGTGGGAACAAGAGAGGGGGCCTTCTCCATGATCGCTTCCCATCTCTGGAACTTCCTTCCTAAAGTAAAAATGGCCCCTACCCTCCTCACCTTTAAGACACTTCTAAAAATGCACTTACGTACTTTAGCATATGGAGAGGAGGAGGACTAAAATATGTTACCCATTTGGAATGCTGGCCAACTCCACTTGCACTATATGGCTGCCATGATACTTCTTAAAGGAACACCGGTGCCAGCTATTTTTAATGTAATTGTATTTTAAATTGCTTTGAAGGTATTTGTTGTAATATTTATTTATGTTTTAGTTAATTATGTCTTACTGACTATTTTGTTATATTTTTATCTCAATGCTTAATCCTTTGTGGTAAACTCACTGTTATTATTGTACTCTGTTGTGTATTTTGATATGTTTTGTACTCACTTAGGCATTGAATGTCTGAAATAAAAGTTTTATTATATTATTATTATAGTCTGCTGGTCATGAAAGTGCTGCCCAGTTGTGTCATTCCAAATAATTACTAGGCCTTTCTAGGGTGGAAGCTCCATCTGTCCGTACCTGGACTGTCACTGTAATATGGGGTGCTGCTGCTTTGCTCCCTTGAGCTAGTATTCCTCAAGTTCTTCTGTGCTTGATTGCTCAGACCCTCAAGAGGAGACCTTATATAATTCTTACAATGCCCGCGAAGGACATCTTGGCTACCAACCTACAGTTGGGTAGGCACAAAGCTATTGCAGATGGAGTTTGGGAGAGAGACAGCTGAAGCACTGAATTTCTCACATCACTAGATACTCTTCCACCATTCCTCATCTTCCTCATCTATGGCATGGGGCATCAGCTTGCCAAGTATTGAGAGGCAACTATTTAACAATTGAGTGAACCATTGCAAATCAGCCAAATAACACCACAGAATGATACAAGACCCAGCAACAAAAGGAAACCAGTAGAGATTTCTAGACTTACAAGAACCATGGCTCGTCCAATCCCTTGTGCCGCCCCAGACACCAGTATTACTTTCCCATCAAGCCGTCCCATTGTGCACCTTTGTGAATAGTTTGGAATACCTATAAACATTTATTGACAATTATAACAGTGCAGAGCAGAGATGGTCAAACATTTTCTGAGCTTTAGAAATTGAGGGTAAGGATGGTCTGTTATCAGAGGAGGTCCAAAGGGGCGGAACCATGAGTTATTGCACCAACCAAGTGATCCCTCTACTCTGAAGATCCCTCTCTAGATCTTCTACTCTGACCTCAAGAAGACTTATTTTTGATCAATGGTTTCACAATAGTAAAGCAAGAAAACTTTAATTTAACTTATTAAGATCCTGACAAGAGAGGCAGAAAATAAAAACAGTAGCAACTATAAAGCAAATAAAATGAACATTTAGCCATATTTCAAGCCATGTCACAAATCCCCCTGAACTCTTTCCACAATCTCAGATCCGTGAAACCCAATTCAGACCTTACCGACTCTTCTCTTCCTAATTGAACTCTCTATGGCTATGTCATCCTGTCTATCTACCACACCATCCAGAGCTGTAGCTTCTCAATGCAAAAGCTGTTCCACTTCGGATAGAAGGTGGTCTTGGAAGATACATCTACACTGTAGAATTAGTGCTGTTTGACGACACTTCCAACTACTTTGGCTCAATGCTATCGAATCCTGAAATTTGAAGTTTTGATGAGGCATCAGCATGCTCTTGTAAAATGACAACTCCTGTGATTCCAAAGCATTAAGCCAATTAAGGTGCAATAATTCCATAGTGTAAATGCACCCCTAAACTTGGTTGACTTGGCTATGTCCCATTAAATTAAGTGGAACTAGCTTTAGAAAGTAGAAGTATAGTTATACAGGTATGCAATTTCCATGACCCCACAACAATGAGCATCTGCAGTGTAGAACTAATGACATTAAAGTAGCGTCAAACTGCATTCACTCTACAGTGTAGACCAGGCCTGGGCAAACTTTGGCCCTCCAGGTGTTTTGAACGTCAACTTCCACAATTCCTAACAGGCGGTAGGCTGTTAAGAATTGTGGGAGTTGAAGTCCAAAACACCTGGAGAGCCAAAGTTTGCCCAGGCCTGATGTAGATGCACCCAAAAAGAGAACTCCTCATACTCAATACACAAAAACTTGCAAATCAATTCTCATGCTTGCAAACTTCTGCAATTCTACTTAAAAACAAGAGCCACACCAACAAAACACTCACCACAGGAATTCAGCAATGACTGCTTGTGAAGACCTTTGCCCAGGAGGCGGGTTTTTCAGCTTCTCTGACAGCATGCTGGGATTCGTAGTTGAGTGTGCTGGCAAAGTTATTTTTTATTTAGGAACTCATTGTGGCTGTGTCAGTTTAAATGCTACCATCTAGTGGACATCTAGGTGAGAACTTGCAATAAAGACACATGCATCAAACTTTAGTCAGCACATTGGGATTGCCAATTGAAGTACAGGACAGGCCCCTTGTATCTTTAATAGTTATATAAAAGAAGGGGTTTTCTCTTTTTCGTGCAAGTGGCATCTGCTTTATTTATTCAGTGTCAAAAACATTGCATAAATAAGTATAAACTTGATAAAACAGAAGAAGCACAGCGACTAAATAATTTTAGACCAAAAATGGGCAACAGCAACTGCATTGTCTGTAGCTTTAAACAATTTTTCCTCTATGCATGAGGCAGGGCATTGTGGACAAGCAAACAGATGAGGAGTTGTTTGTTCTGCTCCACAGTCGCACAAGGTAGAGCAGTGTTTCTCAACTTTCCTAATGCCGTGACCACTTAATACAGTTCGTCATGTTGCGGTGACCCCCCAATCTTAAAATTATTTTCGTTGCTACTTTGTAACTGTAATTTTGCTACTGTTATGAATTGTAAATATTCAATATGCAGGATGTATTTTCATTCACTGGACTAAATTTGGCACAAATACCCCATACGCCCAAATTTAAATACTGCTGAGGTTGGGGGGGGGATTGATTGTGTCATTTGGGAGTTGTAGTTGCTTAGATTTATAGTTCAATCAAAGCACATTCTGAACTCTACCAACAATGGAATTGAACCAAACTTGGCACACAGAACTCCCATGGCCAACAGAAAATACTGGAAGGGTTTGGTGGGCATTGACCTTGAGTTTTGGAGTTGTAGTTCACCTACATCCAGAGAGCACTGTGGACTCAAACAATGATGGATATGGACCAAACTTGGCACAAACAATATTCCCAAATGTGAACACTGGTGGTGTTAAGGAAAAAGAGACCTTGACATTTGGGAATTGTAGTTGCTGGGATTTATACTTCACCTACAATCAAAGAGCATTCTGAACCCTACCAATGACAGAAGTGGGCCAAACTTCCCACACAAAATCCCCATGACCAACAGAAAATACTGCGTTTTATGATGATCTTTAGCGACCCCTCTGACACCCCCTCACGACCCCCCCAGGTGTCCCGACACTGAGGTAGAGGATTCTTCTCGGTAGTGCCATTCTGCCAGGTTGTCTTTTGATCTGCCCACTCCACTTCTGAATCTGTTCCGGAGAGCCATCCAGTTGGGATTTCCTGGTTTAGTTGCCCAGAGGGATACCTTTGCTGTTGCTGGGGGAACATTAAGAGGAGTGGTGGTTCTCATGAAACTTTACCTTGATTTGAGTCTCTTGGGAGGAGGCCGATAGCCATGTAGAGGATGGCTTTCACAGTGTTCAACCTTATTTCTCTCCCAATTAGCAGCACCTTCTGCTTGCACATGGGGGGCGGAGTGTAGGTCTGAGACATCCTGTGATTATTCTGCATGTTTTTTAAGCACCTCTTGAAATGCCCTCTTCTACCCAACCATTAAAGGTACAGAAGCCCCATTCTTAACCATATTTCTTTGGTTCTAAGAACTGTGGTGTTGAAAGAAAATTCTGAGACTGTCTTGGACCGCAAAAAGATCAAACCAGTCTATACTTCAGGAAATAATGCCCAGCTGCTAAGTGGAAGGAAGGATATTAGAGGCAAAGATGAAGTAATTTGGCCACATAATGAGAAGACAGGAAAGCTTGGAGAAGATAATGATGCTGGGAAAAATGGAAGGAAAAATGAAGAGGGGCCAACCAAGGGGAAGAGGGATGGATGGTATCCTTGAAGTGACTGGCTTGACTCTTAAGGAGCTGGGGGTGGCCACGGCCAACAGGGAGCTCTGGCATGGGCTGGTCCATGAGGTCACAAAGAGTCAGAAGTGACTGAACAAATAAACAATAGCAACCTAGGCAGTCACCTCTCCACAACATTGATGCTGAAATAATAATAATAATAATAATAATAATAATAATAATAATAATCACTTTGAAAAAAGGAGACCGAGGGCCTAATTCAACAAGACACCACCAAATGTATGAAGCAGTTATTTCAGTACCACCAATGGGGGAAAAGCTTTATTTATTATATTAAAAAGCACTGGTGATTCTAGGATGCATCCCATTTTTATAGATATTTATATTGGGGGGCAGGGTGTTGTATCTTACAATTAAGAAACAGTTTTTTGACTTGCAAGCCTGGGAGCAATATTCATTTTTTGGTAGTTGTATACCCTGCCCTTACAGTGATGAATGGATGTTAAAGTAGTATCAAACTGCATTAATTCTATGGTGTAGATATACCCTCCAGTATCAGAAGATTCATCGTAAACATGATACTATTTGGAAAAGTGGGAGACAGCAGGAAAAGATGGAAGGCCATATATTAGGTGGGTTGCTTCAGTCGAGGAAACTATGGCCTTGAGTTTGCAAAACCTGACCAGAACAGTTGAACAATAGGGCTCTTGAAGGTGTCCGTTATTCGATTGCCACACATTACAGTCAATGTGACAGCAAATGAGAACAAATCAGGAGCAATATGCCTTTGTAAATTTGCTGAAAAGGAACATGAACTTTTGTGGGGATTTGTTAAACTCTAAAAGTCAATTCAGTTTCAAGGATAATCTCCAAGGCCAAAAGGGTGGGATCAAAAGCAAAAGGCTAGTAACAAAAAGTAAATATATGTACAAGTTTAAAGCTCTTGCAGCTGTACCTAAGAAGTATATCAACTCTTAACATTGGGGAAAAAATGGCAAATGATGACAGAGTCTCCTTCTCTGGAGGTTTTTAAGTAGAGGCTAGATGGCTATTTGTTAGGGATGCTTTGATTTTTTTTTCTGCACGGCAGAATGGGATTGGATTGAATGGCTCTTGGAGTCTCTTGATTCTATGGTGTGATGAGGAGGAAGACACAACCATTTGGGAAAGTGTAAAGGGCCAGCCTGAAGCCCTAGGAGGTCTGATTCAGGTCCAAGGCCTAAGGATTCCCACCTCTGCACCAAAAAGTGTTTTTGCCTGTCTTGATCAGCCTTAGTCAATGGCTGATCATTGAAAATGCACATAAAGGATGAGTCTCAGTTCATTTGGTTTGGGTTTCCAGGTTAACCTGGAAAAAAGATTCCTGATGGAAGCACTGAATATTGCGTATGAGCTTGTATGCATGTTATAGTGTAAAAGGAATGCATTGTTCCAAAATGTAAAGTCCATCTGTGGAAACACTGTGGGCTAAAATACCAGGAAGAACAGATAATTAAAATGTAGTGGGTTGCTGTTAAGTTTTCCAGGCTGGATGGCCATGTTCCAGAAGCATTCTCTCCTGACATTTTGCCCGCATCTATGGTAAGCATCCTGAGCGGTTATGAGGTCTGTTGGAAACTAGGCAAGTGAGGTTTACATATCTGTGGAACGTCCTGGATGGGAGAACTCTTGTCTGTTGGAGGCAAGCATGAATATAGCAATTGGTCTACAACAAAACAATTTAAAAATAGCTTTTGATTTTGGCAAGTTGCAGCTCTTAGATGTTGTTGGAGAGTATTTCCTATGAAGCTGCAGTGAACATACTCAATAAGAAGGGTGGCACGAATTGCCAACCAACATCTGGAGAGCCCTAAGCTATTTGGCCTGATTCTGTTTTTGTTTTGCTCTGAAAAGGTGGGAAGGGAGTACATCATTGTTTGGATTGTCAATACACTATCATATTTGTCTGCACGAGTTCCCTACTTCAACTTGCTAATGTACACATCTAATGATCATGAGAAAAGGACATCTGAGTTAATAATAAGCAATGTGGGAACAGACGAGTCGCTGAGCTTGGAAAACCTATTTCATAGTAGAATCCCACAATCTTTTAGCCAACATGGCTAGGACTCGAAGGAGTAACATTTTAAAGCTCTTGTTTTAGAAATGCACCAAAGATAGACTTTAGCTTAAGCAAATATACAAACATAGTCTTTATTTGTTACATTAAGGTACAAAACAGATAAGCAAATGTAAACATTGAAAAATATGAAATACAAAAAAGAGTATTTAAGATACATTCTTTAATAGTTACAAAAATAGTTTAAAAAGTTATCTTCTTCAAATCCTCAAAACAACTCGAATTCTACTGGGTTTTACAATTAGAAGCAGCATCTTTATCAAGCCAGTATTTAAGATTATGTTCGATAGATTCTGCTGTTGTAGATCTCGAGTCTATGAAACAAAATAACATTTAACAAAAACAGTTGAAATCAATTATTTGTTTTACAAACATCTGTACAACTAGGAGGAAAACACTTGCTCAGAAAATAGTTGGCTAAGCCTCCAATACTTTCAGAATTCATAAGCTGTTGTGCAAATGGTAGGGAGCTGAACTTCATAACTTAAACCAGTGCTGTGAACTCTGTGGCCATAACAATATATTTTTAATTGAAGCTACCACTATCCCCTCTGAGCTCTCCTGGAAAGGGTTGATGAGAGTTGAAGGCCAACAATATTTATAAAGCCATATGATCACCACAACTGGCAGTTCAGTTCTTGACACTATCACTGTTTTGTAATTTTAATTGTAGTTTTGTAACTTTTTTTGGAGTTATCTTTCCACACAAGGGCTGGGCTTTAGCACAGCAGGTTAACCACCAGGTTCAGTAAATCTTGGCAACCAAATGGTTGGTGGTTCAAAGCCCGGGTCAGTGAGTTCCTGGCCTTTAGCCGTTAGGAAATACTAGAAAAATGCTGGCCATTTGATCAAGGAGGAAGTTTATGAACAAAGCTCTTCGGCAGGCATATGGAGTGACAGCACGTTGGCCAAACTGACCAATTCATGTGATCCCGAGGGGTTCCAAGACCCACTGCACTGCCAAGCCCTGCTTTGCAAAAATCTTGAACATTCCAGATCATGGCAGGATGGTTCTTGCATAATTTTCCCCACTTCTTACTGTAGAAATTAGGTGCTATTCCAAATGTTCCCAAATTTTGGTCCTCCACGTGTTTTTGGTTTCAGCTCCCAGAGTTCGTAACTGCTAGTCAGGCTGATTGGGGCTTCTTTGAGAAGGGGAGCTAGGAAGACAGTTCCACTGTGTCTCCTGGGTCATTAGTTGGGAGTTCCCCCCCCCAAGGACCAACTGCCACTCTGAGGTCAGAGTGAAGAAGGGGAGCCAAGAAGATAGTTCCACCGTGTCTCCTGGGTCATCAGTGGGAGCCCCTCCCCCAGCAACAATATAGTAATATATAATACTAATATTGTTTTGTGCTAATAATATATTTTGTGTGTGCGTATGTATGTGTGTGTGTGTGTGTGTATATATATATATATATATATATAATATTGATAAAAATATGATAATGTAAATACAATAAAATACTAATACTACAGTGTAATAATTGTATATTATATATTACATGTAATATTACTAATAATATTGCAGTATAGTGGTATAGTACAATATAGTAATATATAATAACACTATTGTGCTATGCTAATATAATATAATATATTGTGTGCACATACAATATTGATCATAATATTGTAATACAATATAATACTGATAGTAATACAATATAATATATTGTGTGCACATATATTGTGTGCACATATATTTTAATATTACATGTAATATTACTAATAATATTGCAGTATAGTGGTATAGTACAATATAGTAATATATAATAACACTATTGTGCTATGCTAATATAATATAATATATTGTATGTACTTATAACTTTTAAGCCACTCTGAGTCTCCTTCAGAGTGAGAAGGGCGGGATATAAATTTGTATATAAATAAACAAATAATAAATTTGAAGACCAAAACATTCTGAATTAGTGCTATAGAGCCTATCATGCTATTGCCTACCTGTTAGATTTTCTTGGCATGGGTCACTAAAGAAGCTGAAGCCATCTGAAGGTGCAGCAGTGGGGGTGTTAGGTGGTAAAACTGGATTCAGAATTTGTTTCCAAGAGGGAGAAGATGGCAGCGCTGCATTCAAGGGAGGAGCTGCCTTCTTTGGAGATTTCGGTATTTGCTCTTCGTGAACGTCTCTTGGGAGATGTGCCCTCGTCTTCAAAGCTCGTTCCTTCCATTTTTTAACGTCTTCTTTCAAGCCAACCATATTTCTTAAAGCAGGAATGTGAAGAGATATGGTCACTTGATGTGCAACTCAGCACTCTTTTTTAAAAACAAATACCTTACACATGGAGGCAACTTGGCTGGCTGCCCTCCCTTTATTTCCACTTTTGCCACACATATTCCTAAATATATTTGAGAACCAAGAGCCAATAGTACGCCTTCCCTCCGTTCCTGACCTACTTTAAACTCTGGATACTAGTCATGTGCGATCCAAAAAAAAAAAAAAGTTCTAAACTGTGTTCAAAAGGAGGAGGTGCTAACACTTCGTTTCTAAAGTCCGTTCTGAATTTTGGGGTAAACATTTCGAAACTTTATGAAACTTCCAAATATTCATAAGTACTTTGTTAATGGCAGCCGTGCATGAGCAATAAGGGAAAATATCACCGGCAGTGGGGAAACTTCAGGGGCTTCTCTCTCCCTCTTTTTTGAGATAGCCCGATGAAACTTGCTAAAGTGGTAGAACACATTTACCACTGTTAGCCCACCACATTTCAGAACATTTCACTTATCCATGGATTTTTGGCAAATTATTCTAAAGTTTTTAAAACACAAGACACAAGATAACAGGTCCCCCCCCCCGTTTCAGAAATACTAATACAACTACTGAATATGGGTTGCTTACCTGTAACCGTAGTTTCTTGAGTAGTCCACTGTGAATACGCACATATGGTATTCCTGCGCCCGCGCAGGCCCAGTTTCGGAACCTTCTAGAAATCAAAAGCAACAATCTGACCCCTCCTACCCCCCCCTCGGGTATATAATGCTCCTGGGCGGAGCCCACCACCAGTTCTCTTCCGCCAAATTGGCCAGAAGGCGTGGCATGACATCCGAGGGGAGGAAGGGTGGGGATGTGCGTATTCACAGTGGACTACTCAAGAAACTACGGTTACAGGTAAGCAACCCATATTTTCTTGTCGTAGTCTACTGTGAATCGCACATATGGTAGACTCGCAAGCTCAACATAGCGGCCGGCGGGGTCATGCCACTGCCGAAAAAAGCACCGCTCTACCGAAATCAGCTTGCCTCCTAGAAACCGCATCCAGCTTATAATGCGAAACAAATATGCTGGGGGA